AGGAAGGGTTCAGGAAAGATTTGGGTACCGAATTACGCCCCGCTACGGCAGATCCTATTGGAGGAGTTCCACGACGTACCATACGCGGGACATTTCGGGAGCAACAAGACGTTAGCGGGAATAGCGAAGTATTACTACTGGCCCCGGATGGCAGCAGATGTGCAGCAGTTCGTCACCTCCTGCGACACGTGCCAGCGGATGAAGAGCAGCAAGCAGAAGAAAGCAGGGTTACTTCAGCCTCTACCCGTACCGGAGCAGCCATGGCAGGTCGTTAGTCTCGACTTCATCACAGGACTTCCCTCGACCTCACGGGGACATGATTCCATCCTCGTAGTCATCGATAAATTCTCCAAAATGGGGCACTTCCTACCGACCAACGCCACCGCCACAGCAGAAGCAACTGCTCGCCTCTTCTTCGACCGCATCATCACCATCCACGGCATCCCCGCTACACTCATCTCAGACAGAGACCCAAAGTTCACCAGTAAGTTTTGGAAGGAACGAATGGGATTATTGGGGACTAAACTTGCGATGTCCTCAGCATACCACCCACAGACTGACGGACAGACAGAGCGACTCAATCAAGTGGTTGAACAGTTACTGCGCACAGCTTGCAAGGACGACGTCAGCCACTGGGACACACAGTTACCGACCCTAGAGTTCGCTTACAACAACGCGTCACATGCGGCCACAGGGAAAACTCCTTTCTTCCTGTGTTACGGACGGGAACCACTCACACCACAGCAGCCTACCACACCGGCACACGTCCAAGCCGCACATGACTTCGTCACCACCATGCAGCAGCTATGGGAGAAGACTCAGCGACGACTCACCACGATGCAGACCTCCCAGAAGCAGTATGCCGATCGTCAGCGACGTGATCACTCAGTAGCAGTCAGAGATCAGGTGCTTCTTGACACGCGCAACTTGAACCTGTCTCACCTCCCATCCAAACTCCGGCCTCGCTTCTGTGGTCCTTTTCTCGTTGAGGCACAGGTGACACCAGTTACATTCCGCTTGCGCTTACCAGATACGTGGAAGCTTCACAATGCTTTCCATGTGCAGCTACTGAAACCCTACAAGGACCCCAACCAACAGTTCCAGGGACGGCAGCTACCGCCACCTCCACCTGTTCTTGTGCAGGACGAAACCGAGTACGAGATTGAGCGCGTCCTCTCTCATCGGCGCCGCGGCGTCAGGACCCTCGAGTTCCTGATACGCTGGAAGGGATACGACCCCACTGAGGACAGTTGGGTTGCAGAAGCTGATATGGGCAACGCACGCCGTGCTCTCAAGGACTATCTTGTCAAGCAGGGTGTATCTCACGCCACCCAGCTTTGAGGGGGGGACGTGTGAGAGTACGACGGCTTATGCCAGCTATGCTTGCTTGCCTTTACTTTATTATGCTATTTCTAGCATAGGATTATTATATGCATGCATGAATTGCTTGATTTCCTAGGCTAGGTGCTTTCCTATATTTTATTATGGTTATAGCACCGAGCTAGGTTGCGTGCACCGAATTCTGGCTTTTCGGTTGCCACCGAATTGCCTTCTACCGAATTCGGGAAGGATCTGTTCGGGACGCTTCGCGACCCGCGGAACCTTCGCGTAACACCTGGTTACGTGGCCTTGTGTCGAGCCTATATATAGCCTCGTGTTGTACCCAGGTGATCAAATCAATTCACATTCTCTTTTCTGAGCTCGATCCTAGATCCTCACAGACGGACTACAGGCGCTGCAGGCGACACGACAGCTACCTTCACACAACCTCCTCCAACTGCCCCACACCCTCGACACACACCCCCTGCTCAAACCCTAGCTCCACTCCCACGGCGCCCTCCTTAAACCTTAAACCCTAGGCTCCCACACACCACCCCCCTCAGCGGCAGCTGCAGCAGTGGGAGACCAGGGAGGAGGAGGAGCAAGGGGAGTAACTCACAACCGACACCCCCACAACCGCCACCCCCACACTCCTCACCCCCACAACCCCAAAACGGGTGGGACGGGGCAGGAGCGCGGGGAACGGCGAGGGGGACGACGCGCGACCCCAGGACGCCAAAACGGACGGGCGGGAGGGGGGGGGGAGGGGCGCGCGGCTCCCCAGGGCGCCGCGACGGACGGGCAGGAGGGGGGGAGGGGCGCGCGGCTCCCCAGGGCGCCGCGACGGACGGGCAGGGGGCGCGCACGGCTCCCCAGGGCGCCGCGACGAGCAGGGCGGGGGCCGCGCGTGCTCCCCAGGGCGCCGCGACGAGCAGGACGGGGGCCGCGCGTGCTCCCCAGGGCGCCGCGACGAGCAGGGCGGGGGCCGCGCGTGCTCCCCAAGGCGCCGCGACGAACAGGGCGGGGGCCGCACGCGCTCCCTAGGGCGCCGCGACGAGCAGGGCGGGGGCCGCGCGTGCTCCCCAGGGTACCGCGACGAGCAGGGCGGGGGCCGCGCGCGGGTCCCCAAGGCAGGAAACCGCCGCGCGCCTCGGGGCGCACGGCGGGCAGAAAACCGCCGCGCGGTCGCGCGCTCCGGGGCGCGCGACACAGAGTAGGGCAGCGGAAGTAGGTGGGCCCACAGGCCAGGAGCGTAACCGCTCTGATTCCATGTGAGAATAATAGGCATAACGAGGAGCCATAGCTAGGTAAGCCCTAGCTAGGCAAGTGAAAGTTTAGGCAAAAGAGGAGGTTCACTAGCAGCAGTTGGGATACATATAGCAAACCCTACATGGGTTGTACCCGCTATAGAGCACCCCACTACAGGCTAGAGAATAACATTCTGACATTTGTAGGAGGAGCTCAAGCTCGAAACTCCATGTGTAAAAGTCCTTGCCGTCGAACGCGGCCGTAGTCTTGATTTTTGAGACGCTAAGGAAGCGTGTTTGCGCAGAGTTGATAGCTTCATCACTTGGACGGGGGGCAGTTGTTGTTGATTTGTCTGTGTCGAGGGAGAAGGTGTGCGCGGCGGTATCACGGCTTTTCTCAACCGGTTGTCCAGGTTGTCCTGGTTGGGAAGAGGTTCCCGCATCGCCTTTGCGCAGGTCTTGGAGTTCTTTCTCCATAGTTGAAAGTTGAGCGAAAAGTTGCTCGAGAGCGGCAGTGGCGATCGTAGTTGTCGCCTCATTTGTCGCAGCCGGGTTGGATTGTCCTTCAGCCGTCAGATTTGCTTGGCCTCCGGATCCTCTGGCCATCTTGATCTTGGAGCGTGTGCCGCTCGCCAGATGTTGGTTCGGCGAATTTTACGGAAGTGAGGTTGCGAAGAATTCCCGAGTAGCTCTCATACCATGTTACAATCCCAAGTGGGACTTAGTGAAGGATCGCTCAGGGTTGATCGCAGAGTAGTGTTGCAGCGGAAGATTTGAATCTCAGGTCAGAGTGAATGTAAATGACTGAGTTGATAAAAGCATGCATACATCGAGTTTATATAAGAGTACAGGGGAATACGAAAAGACCTAGACTAGCCATGTACTCTAAGGGGTACATTTCCCTTATTACAGCAAATTCAAACCGTGCGGCGCGGGAACCCGTTTTGAACCTGTTCCCGCTCTTTTCATTTCAAATGTTTATGCCTGCATCGGTCTTGGTCAGACGGTTGCTGCGTCGCTTTGACTCTTCTGACTCCTCGACTTCGTACTCGGTAGAGTCGGCTCCTGCAGCATACAGGAATGCCTTACTCATAAAACTTCATATCGTAACAAACGAAACTGGTTTGATCGCCTGAAATTGGACTAATTTGGTTTCAGCCAGCCCATCAAAGTTTTCGTCTGGAAATTCGTACAAAACGTTGTAGTTTGTGTGAGAATATAGTACCGAATTCGATTGTGCCAGACACGTTAACCCAGTAGTGCAACAGTTCGGATACATTATGATATTTATTATGCCACTTAGATGACTTGAACAAAAGCTGGAGATAACTAGTTTAGACTACCGTATGCAAGAACATGTATGCTCCGAAGAACTGATGTATTTTCATTCTCTGCTAACATCTGATACGGTATGTTATTCCAGCATGATGTGAGTTATGTGAGACTTTTGCTTCAAGAACGAGCCGCTACTTCACGTAAGGTAGTTTGCGCTCCGGTGTTCCCGAATTTGCTCGAGCCTCTCACATTCACGTTCCAGGCCAGACAGTGCCAGTTGACATGAATGCAGGACCTGACTGACAGGTAGTTGACGAGAATTGTAACGTGTGCGAAAGCTGATGCCCTTCTCGCGGAAGGATCTCCCTCCCAAGGCATTTGCTCCAAACGTTGGGGCTCCGACACTTATTCAACGGCCCAGATTGCGTCTCTACTTCGACTGGTGCGATATCAATTCTCCAAACCTTCACCCTTGGTTCGCGGATGCAAGCCCTGGACTTTGAGTGGACGCGCGCCTCGAGCTCATCTGCGGTTTGTGCGCTTCGATTCTATGGACCTGAGATTGTGCGCTCATCTGCAGGAAAAGCAGCACAGGAATTCGGGTGCAGCAAGGGAGTGACTGATAGCCAAGCTGCTGGTGTTGGTGCTTGTGATGGTGATGGTGTTAGGCCTGGGAAACACTCCGCCATAATTCAAGATTGCTGCCGCAAAGGGAAGCTGTACTGTGTAGATTCTTCGCCAGAACTCTACTTCCATCAACCACGACCTCCAAGCCTAAAAGAACCAAGAGATCATGGTGCCAGTTTGTGTTGCCTTTGAATCCTAACTCTGTTTGCGACGTAGCGAATCAGGTTATTGGTAGCACAATGAGTTTCTTTACCCAATACCAAGCAGGCTGTCGCTCACTTAGTGGACAAGGTTGCACAGCACGAGGACGGCAGCGCGAGGCCTGCTAAGTTCAGCCGGGGCACATATCGTAGTCGATAGGAATAGAAGTGGGAATAAAGGAGGGCCACCGTAGCGCACGAGCAGGGAGTACTTAGTCCGCGTCTCTTTGCATCGTGAATTTTGGATCTTAACGTCACTACACGGCGGCTGCTTATAGTGTTCTCGCTCAAGAACGAGAACGAGTACCGACAAGAGCAACCAAGAGCAGCCATGTTTAAGGGTTTAAGAACGCAGAGAACCAAAGAGAAGTTCGAGTTTCGGTTCCGCTTCCATGCCACCAGGGTGCGTAACACCCCACCCTCACCTTCTCCTCCGCTTCCTCCATAGCGCTCGTCGTGCAGCCTTGATCTCGCAGGATTCTATTCTCGCGTAGCATCGTGCCCGGTTTCTTTACACGCTCTGCATGTTCTCCTCCTCTCCTTCCACCAATCCTGTCGCGCCTCTTGAACACCACTCCCTGCCCTTCCTGGACCCTTGAACCCTTCAGTGTCTAAATAAGATTAACCTTTATCCCATTACCCGCTCCATCTCCTCCACCTGTCCCACCTGGTATCCCTCCGGCAGGTGCCTCTCACGGGGTTCGAGCAGCTGGTTGTGTCGCTCGTTCCCACCGACACCAACCGCTCCGACGTGCGCACGGACTCTGCTACCGTGCGTAACGGAATCTGTCGATGGACGGAAACGGTGACGGAAGTCGTCAAGTTCACGCGCAATCCCAAAACGAGGACGTTCGAGGCCAAGGCGTACCGGTTCGCGGTGTCCTCGGTAAGTCCGAGCCCTGCACTGCGGAGAGAGGGGGGGAAGGAGGGGAGGGGATGGCGGAGGGAAGGGATGCATATGGAAAGTATGTAGTATGGTCGTGTGCACGCGCCATTGCAACCGTTTCTCCGGATAAAGCCTCTCCGCCTTTGCCCCCGCGCGCTATGCTCTGTGTCCCTTCCGGCCCATTTCACCCTTCCTCTCCCCTTCTCCTCCGCCTCCCCCTTTCCCTACCTCCGCATCCCTTCCCCTCTTCGCTTTCCCCCCATCCCACCCCGTTCCTCCCCCCTGTCCGCCCATGCTGACCGCGCTTGTCTCCGGGGGCGGTGCGCGGGCGCAGGCGGCGGGCGCGGTGCTGGGAGAGGCGTCGCTGAACCTGACGGAGTTCATCGGGTACTCGCAGCTCGACCAGCGCGCGCTGCCGCTGCGATCGTGCCCCTCCGGCTCCGTGCTTCATGTAAGGGAGCAACTCTCAACTATGGAGCTACCCTCCTTCACATCTCGCCAGTGCTGCGCTGCATCAACACCTCCCCCTCTCTCCCTCCCCTTCTCCCCCTCCCCCATGCCCCACCCAGCTGGATTTAAGAAGCTTGCACTTTCTCCTCCTTGCTCTCTTGTCGCTACCGCCCCATCTTCGTTACACGTCGGAACCCACGGCGACCGTATCCAAAGCCAATCAGATCCAGTTTGAACGAATCCAGGGCTAGCAGAACCGCGAATCTCCCTCGCGAGCTAATCTGTGTGCTCTCCTCTCGTTCGTTGCCTTGTCTGCTCTCACGCGCCGCCCCTCACACACACACCTGCTCCTCGGGCGCTGTATCTCCGCAGGTCACGGTGCAGTGCTTCCCCATGGATCCCAGAGACGGCGACGACTCCGCCGACAGCGTCGCCGACACCCATGCGACGCCTGCGACAGCGTCGTCAGCGGCCGCTGGCGCCACCGCAGCAGGGGGAGTAGGGGGGGAGGGGAGGAAGAAGCGCTCGGGGGAGAAAGAAGGCAGCGCGCCGGTTGCTTCTTCCGCCAGTGCCGCTGCGGCCGCGACTAGCGCAAACGCTACTGGCGGAAGCGGCGGGGGGAGAGGCGGAACGGAGAAGGGGACAAGCGGTGAAGCCCCCACAGCAGTTATTAAGCCCGGTGCGGAAGATGCTGCGGCAGTCGCGGTAGGAAGGGATGGCGCTGTGTCAGGGGTGGCGGTGGCGCCCGCGATTGGCGGCGGAGGAGGAGCAGATGGTAGTGGCGGCGTGGTGATGCTGAGAAGCACGGTAAGACTCTTGGGGATTTGCGCTGACAGCTCTAGTTGCTGTACAAATGGAATTCTTGGAATTAGTAACGAAGAGAAAAGAGTAAACAAAAAGGTCATATTAGTGAATGAAGCAGTTCGTGGTAGTCGGGTCTCGTGAGTTGCTAGTAGGAAGCTTTGCATTCCTCACAAGGCGCTACTCTTTGCAGGCTATCAGATCTCACACGCCGTCCATTCCTCACCCCCCTTTACCCTTCCAGAGGGTTGAGTCAATGCAGCCGCCGCCGTCGCCTCGGCAGCCGCAATCGCAGCCGCACGGGGAGCAACGCAGGGAGGACAGCGGGGAGAAGCGGAGGGAGCTGCTGGGGTGGGGCAGGGAGAGGAGCCAGGAGCATAAGCGCGCGGGGCAGGAGCAGACGAGCAAGGAGCACGCGAAGCAACAGCAACAGGAGCAGCAGGGGCAGCAGCAGCAGCAGCAGCGAGGGGATGGTAATCACAGCGGCGGCAGCAAGGCGCCGTCGAGCTTCATGTATCGCTTTGGCAACGCGGCGGGCGCGAGAGTGAGTGACCGCCTGTCCCAATCCCCGCGGGAGCTGTAGTTCCCCGAATCGGCTCACCATGGGAGAGTGTGTGACACTGGAATAACCGTAACGTTCTCAGCCAGGCAACCTCCTAATCCTATTCGCATCCTCCCTGGTCTCTCGTCTCTCGTCCCCACTCTCCCCACGCATATTCCCCAAGCCCCTCCTATAATCCTCTCCCACCACCCCCACTCCCTCTCCCTCCCCACCTCCCTTCTCCTCTCCAGGGGGAATCAAAGAGCTTCAGGGCACCGGCGGCAGCAGCGGTAGCAGCAGCAGGAAGCGAGCGGGCAGGGCTAGCGTCAGTGCTGCCGGCGGCAGGGGAATTTGAGGAGGATCAGGCGAATGTGACGTGCACCACGGGCGGCGGGGGCTCAGGCCCCACGTCCATGCTCATGGCCGCTATGCTCTTCCGCCGCTCCTCCTCCTCCGCCTCCGCCACTCACGCCCACCACGGCCTCGCCGGCGGCGCCGGGTCGTTGTCAGGCCGGCGTGCTGCCGTGTCGCCTGGAAGGTCCCGTGGCCTTGCGTCCCCCGCCGCTCATGCCGGAGGAGCGGCTGGAGCGGCAGGAGTGGTTGGAGGGGCAGGAGGGGGAGGAGCGGCAGGAGGGGCAGGAGGGGGAGGTGGTGCTGCGGCGGCGGCGGCGCTGCTGACGTACTCGGGGGAGATTCTGCGGCAGGAGGAGGCGTTCCGGAAGCAGGGCGCGCAGGACTGGCGCAGAGACGTGGCGAGCGGACCCATGGAGGTGGGCGGAGGTGGGCGGTTCATTCCCGGCGCGGGGTGGCTGTGGCCTAAAACAGGCGGCGATGGCAAGGACAAGCACAGGGAGCCGCAGGTGCCCCCACTGTCGCAGCAGCAGCAGCCGCCTCCCTTCCAGCAGCAGCAGCAGGTGCAGGTGCAGGTGCAGGAGAAGGAACGGAGTGGGCAAGGTGGGCAGGAGAAGGAGCGGCCGCATGCTATCACGGAGCCACAGGCACGCGTGTGCGTGGGGACAGGCGCAGGTGGGGAGGGAGGACAGGGGGAACCGATGACTGCATCTGCAGGCTCTGTTGTTGTTGGCGCTGCTGGTGATGGTGGTGCCGCAGCTGCTGGTGCTGCCGTTTCCAATGATTTGTCCTCTGGGAAACAGCAGCAGGTGCAGCAGCAGCAGCAAGCGAGCGCCCTTCTGCCTCGGTCTGCGAGCCTGTCCAGTGTGTCGACTGCTGCAAGCAGCACAGGCGGGGGCAACGGCAGCAGCAGCAGCAGCAGCAGCAGCGGCAGAGAGAAGAGGAGGAGCAGCAGCAGATCAAAACAGAGAGCAGGAAGCAGCGGAGTGGAGTCAAAAGGAAGTGAGAAAGCAGTGGCGGCGGTGGTGATACCTGCACCTCCTGACGTCCCCCCTCCGCTGATCCCGTCTCCACTGCCCGTCAACAGAGCCTCTCCTCCTACACCACCACCAGCTGCTGCTGCTGCAGCTGAGAAGTCTCAACCCCTTGCACCTGCACCTGCTGCGGATGCTCCTTGTGTTGCTGCTGCCGCTGGTGCTGCTGCAAGCAGGGGAAAGGAGGAAGCGTCTGGTCTGCCGAGCCTGCTGCAGCCGTCTAGTGGCGACGTGGACACGTCTTCCGACGATCTGAGCAGTGCCGGCAGCACTGCTGGCGCTGCAGACGCTGGTTCCGCGGCTGCTGCTGGCCGCGGTGGTGACGGCTCCGCTGCCGTTGCTGCCGTTGCTGCTGCTGCTGCTGCCGCTGCTGGAGGTGTTGCTGGCACTCCTGCCGCGGGGATGGTTGCGGTGCAGTATGGCGGTGGGTGGTCTGCGGCGAGTTCGAGCAGCAGCGATAGCTCCGCGGATTACCCTCTAAATATCCCCCCGCCGCCTAGCTGCGTGCTGCCGTCGCACAAGGCGGCAGCGACGGATGCGGCGACGGGGACGGGGACGGGGACGGGGACGGCGACGGGGACGGGGACGGGGACGGCGACGGCGGCAGCAGCCCCGTCGGCAGTGTTAGGGGAAGGAGAGTCTGCGGCCCCCCCGCCCAGGCAGTACCACGTGGGCCCGCCACTGCCGCTGCCGCCAGCAGCGGACGCAGGGAAGGCCGCAGGCGCAGGCGCTGGCGCTGATGCGGCGCAGGGACCCGGTGGGTTCGGCGGAGGGGAGGCTGGAGGGGCGGCTGGAGGGGGCATGGGAGGGGTAGTAGGAAGCGGGGGAGAGGGCGGGGGAGAGAACGGCGGGGAGGGAGTGGGGGAGGGCGTGTGGCGGACGGGTTGGAGTGCGGGGAAGGCAGGGCAGAGGCCGGGCGCATGGCAGGTGGCGGAACAGCAGGGGGGCGGCGGAGTGGCAGGGGAGATGAAGCAGGTGGGGGCACAGGAGGCAGGGGAGCGGGAGGAACGGAACGAAAAGGCAGACGCTGCTGCTGCTGCTGCTGCTGCTGCTGCCGCTGGTGACGCTGCTGCTGCTTACTCTGCGGAAGGTTACATGTCTGAGGTCCCCGGATATCCCTATCCCCACCCTGGCATGGGGCAGTTTGGCGCGTTCGCAGAGGCTGACGGCTTTCCTGGTGGTCCCGGCGCGTTCCCCGCGGGGCACCCGCCAGGCGCAGCGGGGGATGCGCTGGGCGGACTCGCGGGGTCCGGGAACCTTGGGAACTTCGCCGGGATGGGAGGCATGGGCGCAGGGGGCATGGGTATGGGCGCTGGCATGGGCATGGGTAGCATGGGCATGGGTTTGGGCATGGGGATGGGTATGGGGATGGGGTTGGCGGCGGGGGGAGGCGGGGGCGGGGGCGGCGCGTACACGAGCAGTGGCGACGCGGAGTCGGACCTGGCGGCTGCGGAAGCCGCCATCGAGGAGCTGCAGCGCGACTGCACGCACTACCAGCACGCGGTGCGCAACCTGATGCGCGAGGTGGAGGTGCTGCGCGCGCAGCTGGCGGAGACGATGACGCAGGACCGCGCGGTGGAGGTCGCGATGGAGGCGCTGCGCGAGGAGCGCGACAAGCTCGTCGCGGAGGTGAAGCTGCTGCGCCAGCTGGTCGTCGCGGGGGGCGCGGGGGAGAACGGGTGCCTGGGGATGGCCCCGCTCGACGGCCCCGCGGGAGGGGGAGGCGGAGGCGCGTTCGGAAGAGGCGCGGCGGGGTTGGGCGGCGGGATGGTCGGGGGGCCCGGGGGACTGGGCGTGGTGGCGGCTGCTGCGGCGGGTGTGGTGGGCGTGGACGGGCGAGAGGCGCTTGCGTGCGTTCTAAGCGACCTGGCGTATCACAAGGGGCTGACGGAGAGCCTGGAGGCGCAGGTGGAGGAGCTGTCGGGCGCGAACGAGGACTTGCTGCGCGCGCTGCAGCAGGCGGAGGGGGACGTGGGGAAGTACCGGCGGGACGCGGAGGAGCTGTTCGAGGTGAGCGAGCAGCGCGACCGGGAGCTGAAACGGCTGATGCGGGAGATGGAGCAGGGGCGGAGGGAGGGCGCGGCAGGGAGTGATTGTGGGGCTGCCGGTGGGGCGAAAAGTGAGAAGGAAGTAGGTGGTGGAGAAGGAGGGTCAACGGCTGGTGAAACGGGAGGGAGTGGAGGAGGAGGGGGAGGAGATGCGGGAGGAGGAGCAGCAGGGGCGGCGGCACTAGAAGGGGAGGTGAGGGCGCTCCAGGCGAAGCTAGCAGAGGTGGAGAGGGAGGCGCAGGAGCTGACAGCAGAGAGCCTGGAGCTGGCAGCCACGCTCACGCAGGCACAGCGAGAGGGCGAGGCTAAGGACGCTCGAATGCGCCTGCTGGAAGCCAAGCTGGCGGCTCTTAGGGGAGAAATGGCTGGGAGTGATGCTGCTGAGGCGATTGCCGCTGCTGAGGCTTCTGCTGCTGCTGCTGCGGCCGCGGCGGCTGAGGCTGAGGCTGCTGCTGCTGGGGTGAAGCGGAGGGAGGGCGGGAAGGAGGGAGAAGGGGAGGGTGTTGAGGGTGGGGTGGAGGGGGCGAAGGAGAGGATTGAGGAGCTGGAGAGGGAGGTGGAGAGGTTGAAGGGGGAGTTGGAGGCGGCGGAGGAGGAAGGGAAGAGGGTGAAGGGGAGCCTGAGGAGGGCGGAGGAGGCGATTGCGGAGGCTGCGCGCGCGGGGATACTGGGTGGGGACCTGCAGGCGCGCAATGCGCGGGTGAGGGAGCTGGAGGAGGAGGCGGAGGAGCTAAGGCGCGCAGCAGCCATGGCTGCTGCTGCAGCGGCCGCAGCGGCGGCTGCTGCGGAAGGGGCTGCTGTGTCGGCAGCGGTGGGAGGTAATGGTGATAGCGAGGGGCGGGGAGGAGGTGGAGAGGGGGGAGGGGCGGGAGGTGGGCTGGGAAAGAGGCAGCAGGAGGAGGTGGATTTGCTGCTGGCTGGAGTGCGCAAGGAGCTGGAGCAGCTGACGGTTGAAAAGGCAGAGGTGGAGAGGCAGCTAGCGATGAGTGTGCGGCAGGTGAACGCGTGGCAGAGGCGGTGCGAGGAAGGCGAGGAGAGGAGGAGCGAGGTGGAGGAGAGGCTGAGGGAAGCTGTGGGGAGGAGGGAGAGGAGTGAGGAGATGGTGGTGAAGTTGAGTGAGAGAGTGAGGGAGTTGGAAGAGAAGGTGGAGCAGGTGGAGACGGCGAGAGGGGCAGCAGAGGCTGCTGCTGCTGCGGCGTCGGTGGCGGCTGCAGTGGCTGCAGAGGAGGCGGCTGCGGCGGAGGAGAAGAGGCTGGAGGCTGTCGCTGCTGCTGCTGCTTGTGCGTCGGCTAATGTTGCTGCTGCTGCTGCTGCTTCCGCGCCTGCGCTGCCGTCGCCACGAGGGGGCCGGGGAGGAGGGGCCGGGCGGGGACGGGGAGGAGGAGGTGGTGGGGGAGGAGGAGGAGGGAGGGGTGCTGGTTCTCATACCGGCGGTGGTGGTGGCGGCGGCGTCGCTGGTGGGAGACGGGCGGCGGATTTCCGAGTGGAGGAGCTGGAGATGCAGCTGTCATCGCTGCGGGAGCTGCTGCAGGAGGCAACGAGCGTGAAGGTGAGAGCGGCGAGGGAGGCCGCGGCACGCGCTAAGGAGGTGGAGCAGCTGACGACCGAGGTGGTGGTGCTGCGGCAGCGAGCAGAGCGCGCCGAGCGGGAGCTTAAAGGCCTGGAGGAGGAGAAGGCGGGGCGCGAGGCGAAGATATCGGAGCTTGGACGGGAGGTTATGGAGGCGAGGCTGAGAGTGAAGGGCGCGGAGGAGGAGGTGGGAAGGGCACGGGTGATTGTGGGGGAGGCGGAGGGGAGAGTGGCGGAGGCAGAGGGGCGGTGTGCTGAGGCGGAGAAGGAGGCGCGGGAAGAGAGGGCTGCGACGGAGGCTGTGGTGGGGCGGGTGGCGCATTTGGAGGTGGTGATGGGGCGCATGGAGGAGGAGAGGGCTAAGGCTGTGGGTGAGATGGTGCAGGCGGTGAGAGAGAGGGAGGAGATGGAGGGTAGGGTGAGGGAGATGGAGGGGAGAGTGAGGGAGATGGAAGGGAAAGTGAAGGAGATGGAGGGGAAAGTGAAGGAGATGGAGGAGCAAGTGAGAGAAATGGAGGAGACAGTGAGTGTGAAGGAAGGGAGAGTGAGGGAGATGCAGGGGAAAGTGAGGGAGATGGAGGAGATGGTGAGGGTGAAGGAAGAGACAGTGAGGGAGTTGGAGGGGAAGGTGAAGAGGTTGAGGGAGGAGAGTGATGAGAGGGAGCGGAGAGTGGCGGGGTTGCAAGAGGAGGTGGGGAGGAAGGAGAAAGCAGTGGAGGAGACAGAGAAGAGAGTGAGGGAGGCGGCAGAGAGAGCGAGAGAGGCGGAGGAAAAAGGGGAGGAGCGAGCAGCAGCATTGGAAGGGCTGGTGAGGGAGAAAGAGCAGAAAGTGCAGGAGACAGAAGAGAAAGTGGCAGTGCTGGAAGCAGAACTAGAAGAGGTGAAGGAAGAGGCGGACAGGGAGGTGGAGGAGATGAAGGAGATGGAAAGCCGGCTGTTTGAGCGGCTGGAGCTGCTGCTCTCGGAGAAAGAAGAGACACTGGCCCGGGCGGTGCGAGCGGAAGAGATGCTGGAGAGCGAGAGAGCAGAGAAAGAGGCGACGGTGGTGCGGCTGCAGGCAGATCTGCTGATGCTGAAGGAGCAGCTGGAGGTGGTGGCGCCGGCGGCGCTGCAGCAGCAGGAGCAGGACGAGCAGCAGAAGGCGGACCAACTGCAGCGGCTGCTGGAGCTGCAGGAGAAGCTGAGGCAGGCGGAGGTGAAGGTCCAGCATGCGGAGGCCGGGTGGGCGGCCGAGGCTAAGGAGCTAGGCGGGAAGATTGCAGGGCTGCAGGCGGAGAGGAATGCGTGGAAGGCCAAGGAGATTGGGTTACTGGCGGAGCTGGAGGTGGCGAAGCAGGAGACGGTGCGCGTGCAGGCGCTGGTGCAGGAGGTGCGGCGGGTGAGCGGGGAGAAGGCGGAGGTGGAGGCGCAGATGCGGCAGCTGCAGTGCGTGATTGAAGGGCTGGAGCGGGCGAAGGTTGCTCTGGAAGCGGAGAGGTCGGCTGCGCAGGCGCAGGCGGCGCTGCTAGGAGGGAAAGTGAAGGAGTGCGAAGGGCTCAAGGTGGAGTTGGCGCAGGTGAAGGCGGAGAAGGCAGGGGTGGAGGAGAGGCGGCTGGCACTGGTGGCGAAGCTGGGGAGGATAGAGGAAGGTATGGAGCAGGTGCAGGAGCTGAGGGTGAGGAACGCGGTTCTGAAGGGCGAGGTGGAGGTGATGAGCTCAAGAGTGGGGGATATGGAGATGCTGAGAGCGGAGAAGGAGAGTTTGGAGAGGCAGGTGAGTGAACTGCAGGCGCTCATGTCGAGACGGCAGGCGGTAAGGGATGTGGCGGAGGAGAGGGAAGTGGCTGTGGGTGGCGGTAGCGGTGGCGGTGGTGGTGGTAATGGTAGCAATGGTGGTAGGGCTGTTGTTAATGAGAAGGAGAGTGGGATGGAGGGGTTGAAAGAGCAGGAGACTAGGCAGCCTGGGTTGACAGCGACGGGTGGTGGTGAGAAGGTGACGTGTGGGAGCGTGGAAGAAGAAGAGGTGGTGCATGTCAGAGAGAGCAGAGAGAGCAATGGTGAGGCTTCTGAGGAAGATGGCGAGAGGAGTGGAAAGGCGGAACGAGGGAAGAGACGAGAGGAGGCTCCTGCAGAGGAGTTGAAGAGCAGAGTGGAGCGCGGAGAAGGTAGTAGTATGGTGAGTGGTGGTGATGCTGATGGAAAGAAACAGCAAGGAGGGGAGGAGGGGGGAGAAGTGGGAACGCAAGGACTGTCAGATGCAGGAGCAGCTGATGGCAGTAGATTGGGTGAGGACTCGGTTGAGCAGCAGCTGCAAGGGCAACAGCAGGAGACACCGCAGGAGCAGCAGCATCAAGTGCAGCAAGTACAGGAGGACGGGGTTGCTGCTGCTGTATTGGAGAACAAAGGTGAAGAGAAAGCAGGGACCGAGCAGGGGAGGCAAGAGGAGCAAGCGGTGGGTGAACCAGTGATGGGGCAGTCAAATGCCGAGGTTACCACGGAAGAAGGAAAAGCATGTGATGGTGGTGAGTCGGGGGCAGTCACAGCAGCACACGCGGGTGTTAGTGAGAGCACAGCAACCGCGGGTGATGGTGGTGGTGGTGGTGAGGTGGGGGTGGTTGTGGCACCGGGCAAGGTGATGGTGGATGGGGTGGCTGTTGATGCCAAGGCCGCTGAGATGCGCAAGCGGATTGCAGAGCTGGAAGGAGAGCTGCATAAGGAGAGGCAGAGAGCCGTAGCCGCTGCTGTGAGCAGCAGCAATAGCAACAGTGGTGATGCTGTTGATCCAGCAGGCGAAGGGGGAGCAGCAACCGCCAGTGGGCAGCCGCAACCTCAAGCTGCTGTTGATGAGGAGACGGTAAAGAGTGGAAGCGCCAAGCCCGAAAGTAAAGCCTCAGCAGCAGGTGCTGCGGCAACTGTGGCTGCGGCGAGAGGTGGAGGTGGAGGTGGAGGTGGGGTCAGCATGAGCAGGAGCTCCAGCACTGCTTCAAGCAACGGCAGCACCAGTAGTGCTGGGGTTGTTGCCACCCGGCGAAAGGTGAGGGATAACAGAAGGGCGCCAAACGATTTATCTCTCTTCTCCCCCTCGCTCCTTTTCATGTAACCCTCTCTCATAAGCACGGCAGTCACTTGACAAGTTTTGTAGTCACTGCTAAAATGCATACCACCCGGTGCTGCTTCCCTGGCTGTGCAGGTTGTGAGGGATCCATCAGACTCCCATGGTCCAGGCCGAAAGGTGGTGATTCGGAGGGTGGTGTCATCCAGTGATGCATCATCTGCTTCTGCCAAGGCATCTGCTGGCAGCGCAGCAGAGCACAAGGAGTCCGGAGCAAGCAGTGTGACTGGAGCCACCAAGCCCAGAGGCCGTCTCGTTCAACAGTAAGTGTTGGCCTGCCATTATGACACGTTGCATCCCTCCAACAACTCCCACCTTCCCTCCAACCCACCCCCCCTTGGTTCCTGGCCGCTAACAAGTTAGAAAGGATTTTGGACGGCGTTTTGAAACTGGTGTATTTTGCTTCTGGTTTTCAGGTCTGTATCGTCACCGGCTGACAACGGAGCAGATCAGCCCACGACCACAAGCACACCGACAGGGAAGGTGGTCCGGGTGGTGCGAAACCGCAGCGAAGGACTGTCAAATAAGATCCGTCCGCCTGCTTCCGGTGCCTCACGGAAATAGTAGCCAGTTTTGATGTCATATGTTAGTTCCATTGTCCGACACTCGGATTGCATGCACTGTACAGGCTCCCAAACTGAGCCAAATAGATTACACGCAAAACATACCGGTACTCAACGAGGATCGGGGGCATGGTTGACATTGTTATGAAGTGATTACGTTGATATTTTCGTTATGGGTTCAAGACAGTTAGGTATGAACTGCACGGGCATTATGGCAGCGTTCATTAAATTATTTGCTTCACTCGTATTGCCGTTCAAACCACTGGAATGCGGGATCTCCCATAACGAAGGACTCGATCCGAAGCATGACAAGATCTGGTGTTCAGGCTCGTTCTGACAGCATGCTTGGCATCCATGGCTCTCCCGGGCTTTTGTGAACATGCTTCGCATTGATTTGTCAACGAGCCGCAAGAGAACCAACCAGAAACCCTTCTGATGGTGGATGCGTACCGCCTTGTGTCTCTGAGCGCGACACGTTCATTCCCAACCTAGCACTTTTTCGCGTCGAGTTCACCACAGCACAGATTGCGGGTCGCATAGCAAACATCAAGGTCGCCTGGAGCAAACGGATCTCAGTCAGGCGTTTGGTGTCACCATCCCTCGCCTGCACCCTCGGTCAAGCTGTTTTCCTATGAATTGTTTGGCAAGGAAACCTCACGGCCACCCTAGCCTGGACCAAACTACGAATCTGGATTTGGCAGGCAGTCGCGAAGCGACATGTGTCTTCGCGCCAAACCTGAACCTCACCTCTAGGCTCTGCCGCTCTCCGGTTTCAACCAGAGCACTGAGCATTGCAGACAGCCTCGTGATCCGTCGTTCGGTCACAAGCTTCGAGTCGAATTCATCGTCTACGGCTGTCGAGGTCGCAGAGTCGCCGCCTGGCTCTAGGAATTCTCGTGTCAGTTAAATCTGGTCCGTCAGTTGCCCTGCTCCCTGCTCATCGGAGAGCCCACGCACCCCACCTCATTTCCCGCTGCTTGATTTGTCAGTCACTCCCCCAACGTGCCCATCCCTCCAGCTCCACCCCATCCATTCTCTAGGTCCCACCGACGTCTTTAGTCTGGCGGGTTTGTTCAGTCCACACTTGCCCACTCGCATTCTTCAACGAAGGTAGCTTCTCCCCCTTCAACCTGTTCAAGAAAGCCTTCCTGCCTTTGGCTGCCCGCACTGCACGTGCTTTAGTTTAGGATTACGCGATGGCGGAGAGTAAGCCGGCTCGGGCTAAGACCTCGGGCGCCGTAAACTCCGCTCCTGCGTCCGAGAGCGATAGCAAGCAGCCAGTCACATCGAGGCTCGGGCACCTGAAGCTCGGTTACCACTACTGCGTGACGCACGGCGGCACGCTTCTCCTGATTCCGCTGCTCGCGTTCCTGGCAGTGCAGGCGAAGCGGCATGTGACGCCGGACGATATCATCCAACTGGCGCAGCATCTTGTCGATACGCATCTGGTGGAGGTGGTGGTTGGCGCATTCCTCCTGCTCATCGTCGGCATTGTCTACTTCCTCACGCGCCCCACCCCCGTGTACCTCCTCGACTTCAACTGCTACCGGCCCCCCGACTCGTTCACCGTCACCATCCGCAACGCGCTCACCATCGCGCGCTCCTGCGGCTTCCTCGACGAAACCGCGCTCGCGTTCCAAACCAAGGTGTTCGACCGATCCGGGCTCGGCGACCGAACCTGCCTGCCGGCATGCCTCCTCACCATTCCGCCGACGCCGAGCCTGGCGGAGGCTCGGAAGGAATTCCAGATCGTGATCTTCGACATTCTGGAAGACCTCTTTGCCAAGACCAAGGTGAACCCCAAGGACGTGGGCGTGCTGGTGGTGAATTGCAGCCTCTTCTGCCCGACGCCGTCGCTCGCCTCCATGATCGTGAACAAGTTCAAGTTCCGTACCGACATTCAGTCGTTCAACCTGGGCGGCATGGGATGCAGCGCGGGTCTCATCGCCATCAAGCTCGCGCGCGACCAGCTCCAGGTGCAAAAGAACACTTACGCAGTTGTCGTGTCGACGGAGAACATCACGCAGAATCTTTATCTCGGGCAGCGCAAATCCATGATGGTGGCTAACTGCCTCTTCCGCATGGGCGGCGCCGTGATGCTGCTGACCAATAAGCCCTCGGAGCGCCGGCGCGCCAAGTACCAGCTGCAGCACGTGGTGCGCACGCACCTGGGAGCGGACGACGCGGCGTACCGGTGCGTGTACCAGGAGGAGGACGACGGGGGGATCGTGGGCGTGTCGCTGTCGCGCGATCTGATGAACACCGCCAGCACCGGGCTCAAGACCAACATCACGACGCTCGGACCGCGCGTGCTGCCGCTGTCGGAGCAGCTGCTGTTCCTCGGGAACCTAATCGCGCGCAAGGTGCTGCGGATGAAGATCAAGCCGTACCTGCCGGATCTCAAGCTCGCGTTCGAGCACTTCTGCATCCACGCGGGCGGCCGCGCCGTGCTGGACGAACTCGAGAAGGGCCTCGGGCTCACGCCGTACTTGGTGGAGGCGTCGCGCATGGCGCTGTACCGCTTCGGAAACACGTCATCGTCGACGCTCTGGTACGAGCTGTCGTACCTCGAGGCGCAGGGGCGCATCCGGCGCGGCGACCGCGTGTGGCAGGTCGGGTTCGGGTCCGGGTTTAAGTGCCAGAGCGCGGTTTGGAAGGCGCTGCGTACGCTCGACCCGGCGAAGAACCAGGGCCCATGGTGGGAGGAGGAAACGTCTACCGACGCCGCGCCGGCGCGCACTAAGTCGTCCTACGTGCCTGTTGAGGAGATGAAGGTGGAAAAGGTAGATTTGAGCCGCATCCATCCCAGCCAGGTTGCGGCCGTGAACGCAACTGCTGCTGCTGCTGCCGCTGCTGCTGCCGCCGCTGCAGCTGCTGCTGCTGCTTCTGATGCTCCTGCTGATTCCGCACCTGCTGCTCCGGCTCCGGCAACGGTCACCGCATAAGCTGTTACGGTGAGAGGGTATGTGGATGGTATTGTGCGGTTGGTGAGAATTTGAGGCACAGGCGCCCTCAGAGTCGTATGCTTATGAAAATCTTCTGCAGGTGTTAGTTCTTGCTTCTCCTGATGCTCTCACCTGTGGTGTGTTCACCCCAGTGCCTGAAGGTTGGTCTAACCTAGGGGGGCCAAGGAGTAATCGTTAGCTACTACTACACAATGCACCCGTTAGATTCTTGGAGTTTCTTTGATTAAAAAATCTTAACTACCTTTTGAAATTGACAGGTACTGACGGAGAGACGAGAATGTTCTTGAAATTACATGAAAAAACACCTGGTATGCCTGAGGTCTGTCTGTTAGATTCCCCTGGTGGTTGCTTTGAATCTACTCTCCTTCCAGTTTGCTTCAACATTGAAAGTCAACCCTCGCAACCATCCAGCCACAGTACAGCATCATTCTCGCATCACTATGCCTATGGCCATGAGCCCTCAATCGTCATGAGTAACCAAGGGATTATAGCATGAGATAGTAGACTAGTTAGAAGGCAATGCTGAGGTGCCTAAGCAAATGTGTTGGTGCACCATGTTCATAATGCCTAAAGCTTCGTAGGCAATCGGGAGCTGGGGCTTGTCAAGCAGGCAACACTAGAGACAATTTTTAGGTATCGTATCTTGAAATTGTGTCAGACAATTGAGCAGCACAAATGTCAAGATTCAAGCTTCGTAGGAAAAGGGGAGCTTGAGCTCGTTTAGGTTGGCGACACCGGAGGCGGGCTTGCCAGGCTCGCATGACCCCATGGCTGCTGCTGCATCGGGCCGATCCAAGGTGGCTCCTGCACTGCCCTCCCCTGCAGGGTATGGGTGGTACCAGTCGCCAGGTTGCCTCAGGATAAAACGTGCCTCTGGTTGGAGAGAGAGGGGTAAGGTGTTGGGAGAGGGGTGGTGGGAGGAGAAAGGGATGGGAGAAGGGGAGAAGAGATGAGGGTGAATGGAGGAGCTTGGTCAGTATGTGGGATACTCATACATGAAGAGGGTATATGCAATCATGGTTGGAGGAATGAGAAAGGGCGTGACAACAGTTGATTGCAGCCAACACCTGCGACAATAGCACACCTGCGGCAAAGAACACCTGAGACGAAGAGCCCCTGAGATGAAGAGCACTTGAGTCGAACAGCACCTGAGACAAAGAGCACCTGAGACAAAGAGCACCTGAGACAAAGAGCACCTGAGACAAAGAGCACCTGAGGCAAAGAGCACCTGAGGCAAAGAGCACCTGGGGCAGGGAGCACCTGAAACGAAGACATTGGCGTAGGCATCATCGTCATAGATGAACTCGGGCGGGTCTGGGTGCCCCACTCCCACTATCGTGCTCCCACTGCTCCCACACACACGTGCATGGGTGTGGGTAGGGGTGACAGGAGATTTCAGGGAATAGGGTGCGTGAGGAGAGGGGAGGCACACTTAGTGAGAGGGAGGTACGGCGAGAGGGGAGGCGGGAAGTGTGGATGGCACGGACAAAAGACATCCATCTCCTGGCATGGCATGGCATGGCCTGCATTTGGGCCCTAAAGGAGAGTGTATGGTAGTACCGCATGGAACATCACGGATGGGTCAGTGCAGTATGGCATGGCAGAAGCAGCGAGTGCAGTGCACTCCATTAGTCAGGTGGGGAATGTGGCGTGAGTGCAGTGCATTCCCACCTGCCGGACATGAAGACCGCGGAGTAGCGGCCTCGACCAGCAGCTGCCACTCTCGTCTTGAACGACTTGAGCGACGGCAGCACCTCAAACGCCGGTGGCTCTGCGCGGGTGCAGGGTGGAGGAAGGATGGATGGGGGAGCAAGGGAGAGGGGAGGGGGGATGGAGGGAGGGGAGAGGGGGGAGGGAGGGAGGGTTGAGACGGGATGGAGGGAGGAGGGACGGAGAAGGAGAGATGAAGAAAGATGGGAGCGGAAGGCACGGATCAAGAAGCATTGTTGCTTGCTGCTGGCACGCTGGCATGCATGCACGCATGCATGCATGAATCGATGCTGGCATGCATGCACGATTGCATGGATGCATGGTTGCAGGGTGATACACGGTGATGTGACGCATGCGAGGAGATAGCAGAGCAGAGCACGCACCGAGGTCGTTGACACATGTGGCCTGGGTGATGCCCTCCTGCCGCACTCGCTCCAGCAGCACTCCCGGGTCCTCCTTGCTCGCCCGGTCCAGACGAAACTTCTGTACGGTGGCACGCGCATGGCATGGCCGCGCACAGAAAGAGGCAATTTCTTTTCTAGATGGACGGTGGTAAAGAGGAACGAGGTTGATGGAGGTGGAGATGGTACAGACGCTCCAGAGGGATACTCGAATCGCAGGAAACGGTAGTGGGTATAAGTGGGCAGGAAATGTAATCGCAGGAAGTCAGGCCAAGGGAGTGCTGGGATTACATTTCCAAATCACCTACCATAGCATGGCATAGCTAGCAAACCATACCATGCATTGTTATCATCCATGCTGTTGCACAACCACACCACTTTATGCAATGCTGTGGTATGCCCCACTGCACAGCATGCATGGCATGATGCTCACAAGCAGCCAACACGCAGGGACTCAGACACACGCACGCACGCACCCTGTAGACGTCAGCAGTGGAGCAGGCTTCAGGCGGCTTCATGAGCACCAGGGGCAGGTCGAGAGGCAGAATGGGCGTCACGTCCTCCACTATCTGACACACATGGGGCGAGGCGGAGGGCGAGGAGGGGGAAGAGGGGGAGGGAGAGGGAGGGGGAGAGGGCGAGGGAGGGGGAGAGGGAGAGGGCGAGGGAGGGGGAGAGGGAGAGGAAGAGTGAGAGGGAGAGGGAGAGGCACGAGCATCCACAGTCATACGTGCAGGGGAATGAGATTCACAAAGGGAACACAGAAGCCCAAGGGTGTGGACAGAGGGTGCCGTGAGGTAGGGGAAGAGACGGGACGAGAGACACGCCCCTCTCGTTCCCCCACGCACGCACGCACGCACCTCCCCGCGGCCAGTGCAGTAAGCGGCGCCCTGGGAGAAGAAGGAGGAGATGTCGGATCCGATGTCCGCCGACCACTCCAGCAGCTCCGATCCATCGGGTGCTTGTGGAAAGGCTTTCCTATCTCACACACCAGCTGTTATCACCCACACCCCATCTCTTCTTCCGTACTTGCCCTGTCCGTCCTCTTTATCGCCCAACCCTTGCATCCCCTCTCCTCAGCTCCCCTATTCTCCTCCGCCTTCTTTGAACCCCCATTCCCCCAACCCACGCACCTCCCCGCGGCCGGTGCAGTAAGCGGCGCCCTGGGAGAAGAAGAAGGAGATGTCGGACCCGATGTCCGCCGACCACTCCAGCAGATCAGCCTCGCTCGCCACGTTGCCGCACATCCTGTTCGCCGCCCACAGCGCCGTCGCTGCGTTTCCGCTGCCGCCGCCCAGCCCTGCTCCGGTGGGCACCTTCTTGTCCAGATGCACCTGGGGGGGAGCGGGGGAGGTGAGGATGTCAACGGTGAGACGCGCGGGGTTGCTTTTGACTTTTGGGAGCTCTCGAAAGGCCTTCGGTGGGCACCTTCTTGTCCAGATGCACCTGGGGGGGAGCGGGGGAGGGTGTCAAAGGCGAGGCGTGTGGGGTTGCTTTCGACTTTCGACATCTCTAAAAAGGTCTCCGGTGGGCGCTTTTTGTCCAGATGCATGTGAGGGAGATGTCATGGCATGTCATCCATCGTGGTGAGAGGCGATGGTGATGCATCCATGTGGGCGAGGCAGGGCTGTCCGGGGAAGGCGGATCATGTGCGGAAGGGGATTTACATGAGATAGGGGGGCTATGTGGCCAAGTGGGGTTATGGAAACGAGGAGGATGAAGGGGGACAGACAGTGGGAAAGAAGGCCAAGTGGGGTTATGGAGAAGGAGTTGCAAGGGGGGCTGATGAGGGGATGGAAGGAGGGGGAGGGAAAGGGCAACATGAGAAGATTAGAGGATTGCAAAAGAGGGGGAATAGAGGTGCGCGAACGGGAGGTCACAGGAGAGTGAGGGATTGGACTGAAGCGGCTTACCCAGAAGTACTTTTGGATTCCTGTTTTGCGACGGAAGAGGTCCAACGCCTTGATGACCTGCCACGGTGGAGGGACGGACGGGAGGGCAGGATGAGGGCAGGATGAGGGCAGGATGAGGGCAGGATGAGGGCAGGATGAGGGCAGGATGAGGGCAGGATGAGGGCAGGGAGGTAGAGATGGAATGGTTGCACTGAGAGACAGGTTGCTGCCTCGACCCAAGGGAGAAAGGCAAGGAAACGAAGTGCACATGCACGGGCAGGGCAGGGCATGCGAGCGAGTGTGCTTGTGCTGGCATGCAAACAGTCAAATGGGTAACCAGATACGCAGGGCAGGCAAGGGCAAGCATGGCATGGGGTGGGCGGGCAGAGGGGCGTACGAGGTTGGAGGAGTCGAGTGGCACGCCTGGTGCGTTGGTGGTGAGGGCGTCACGAGTGTTGGAGGGCGAGAAGGAGAACTTGAGCGTGTCCCCCAGACTGATCGCCTGGGGGGCGTGGCCATGGGAGGAAGCAGGCAGGGGGTGGAGTTGCGGACAGAATGGGGTTGGTAAGGAAGAGGATCCAGAATTGGGAAGGAGAACTTGAGCGTGTCCCCCAGACTGATCGCCTGGTGGGGCGTGCCGTGGTGTCATAGGCGCGAGGGGAGGGAGGGGGGAAAGGTATGGGGCTGGTTAGAGAAGAAGCGGTAGAGAAACAAGTGGTAGGGGAAGGGAACAAGTGGTAGGGGAAGGGAACAAGTGGTAGGGGAAGGGAACAAGTGGTTAGGGAAGGGAACAAGTGGTAAGGGAAGGGAACAAGTGGTTAGGGAAGGGAACAAGTGGTTAGGAAAGGGAACAAGTGGTTAGGGAAGGGAACAAGTGGTAAGGGAAGGGAACAAGTGGTTAGGGAAGGGAACAAGTGGTAAGGGAAGGGAACAAGTGGTAAGGGAAGGGAACAAGTGGTAAGGGAAGGGAACAAGTGGTAAGGGAAGGGAACAAGTGGTTAGGGAAGGGAACAAGTGGTTAGGAAAGGGAACAAGTGGTTAGGGAAGGGAACAAGTGGTAAGGGAAGGGAACAAGTGGTAAGGGAAGGGAACAAGTGGTAAGGGAAGGGAACAAGTGGTTAGGGAAGGGAACAAGTGGTAAGGGAAGGGAACAAGTGGTAAGGGAAGGGAACAAGTGGTTAGGGAAGGGAACAAGTGGTTAGGAAAGGGAACAAGTGGTTAGGGAAGGGAACAAGTGGTAAGGGAAGGGAACAAGTGGTAAGGGAAGGGAACAAGTGGTAAGGGAAGGGAACAAGTGGTAAGGGAAGGGAACAAGTGGTTAGGGAAGGGAACAAGTGGTTAGGAAAGGGAACAAGTGGTTAGGGAAGGGAACAAGTGGTAAGGGAAGGGAACAAGTGGTAAGGGAAGGGAACAAGTGGTAAGGGAAGGGAACAAGTGGTTAGGGAAGGGAACAAGTGGTAAGGGAAGGGAACAAGTGGTAAGGGAAGGGAACAAGTGGTAAGGGAAGGGAACAAGTGGTAAGGGAAGGGAACAAGTGGTAAGGGAAGGGAACAAGTGGTAAGGGAAGGGAACAAGTGGTTAGGGAAGGGAACAAGTGGTTAGGGAAGGGAACAAGTGGTTAGGGAAGGGAACAAGTGGTAAGGGAAGGGAACAAGTGGTAAGGGAAGGGACCAAGTGGTAAGGGAAGGGAACAAGTGGTAAGGGAAGGGAACAAGTGGTAAGGGAAGGGAACAAGTGGTTAGGGAAGGGAACAAGTGGTAAGGGAAGGGAACAAGTGGTAAGGGAAGGGAACAAGTGGTAAGGGAAGGGAACAAGTGGTAAGGGAAGGGAACAAGTGGTAAGGGAAGGGAACAAGTGGTAAGGGAAGGGAACAAGTGGTTAGGGAAGGGAACAAGTGGTTAGGGAAGGGAACAAGTGGTTAGGGAAGGGAACAAGTGGTAAGGGAAGGAGAATGCGAGAGTTTTGCCTAGTGTGATTGCCTGGTGGGTGGTGGCCGTTGCACTCACGGATGCGAATGAGCGATTGAGACTGGTTGGTTATTGAGGATTCTCAGGAACCAACTAGTGGTTGAGTGAGTGAGTGAGTGAGTGGTTGCGTGAGTGAGTGAGTGGGAGTGTGTGTGCATTGTGCAGGACAAGGAGAGAAAGTTTGGAGCCTGTTCTGTTCTGCACAGTTAGGGGGAGCATGGACGAGGGGAGGGCAGTAGCAGGTGCGGGAGAAGGAGAAGGGGCTCACATGGAAGAGCGAGGCCAGCTCGTGATAGCCGTCAGGGCGCTTGCGTGTGATGCGCAGAAACACGTTCACCTGGGGTGGTGGGTGGGTGGGTGGGTTGGTGGGTGGGTGGGTCGTTGTGGGTGTGGGCCGTGGCATGCGCAGAGGGGGGGGGGCACAGGGAGGAGAGGGATCAGGGAAGAGAGAGGAGTGGGGATGATGGAAGAGTGAGAGGGCGAGGGGCGAAGGGCTAAGGGGTGACAGTCGAGGGGTTCGAAACAGGGTTCGGGGGATTGGGGATAGCTTGGTGCATGTTTAAGACGACGATGTTCCCCCTCCGAGTTTCCCCACCCTCTGATTCCTGCCAGCCCCGCCAGCCCCGCCAGCCCCGCCAGCCCCACCATTCCCTCCCTCCACTCCCGCCATTCCCGCCAGTCCCAGCAGCCCCGCCAGTTAAGGGGGTTGTGACATGCTGACACGCTGAAACGTGGCGTACTGACCTTGGAGGGCGAGAAGAGCGTGAGCGCGCCGGGTCCGCGCTTCTCGCGCGTGGGGTCCGCCTCCTGCGCGTACTCCTCCATGCGCCGCTGCGGGCTGTACGACACCTGCCGCTCACCGCCGCCGTCGTCGCCAGTCGCAGCACGTGCGTCGTTCAGTCGCCACGCGGGGTTGCGCGCACCGCACAATAGGGGAGGCAGGAGTGGGGAGATCTCCGTGAGAATTTGAATGCGGTCAGCGAGAGTGGGATGCGAGGAGAATGCGCATTCTGCGGAACGTGCGCTGAAAATGGGTGACTGACCTAGGTAGTTACTTTTCTTGTCAGCCTTTCGTGAGTAATCAAGCGACGATTACCAGCCACGTTTATAGGCTGATGAACAGCTGTCTCGGATGCTTGGAGCTCCAGGGTCCGCAAAACGTAACCCTCAGTCTACTTGGGCTGATCTCGGATACTCGGTATGGCGTCTTTTGCTACCGCACCACATTGCCTCGTAAAGCATCGCGACACGCTCTAACGTACCTCAACCTGCTTCTTCCCTCCATCGGATTCACCGCCAGCCGCTTGCGCACGGACAGCCACCAATCGCGGCTTGACGTCTAGCCGCACCACTGGCGACTGTTTGACCGACGAAAAATTAGCCGTTCGTAATGACGGCTTCAAGTGAACCTGTCGCACGGAGGGGCACGCGGCGCTGAGAGTCTGCATTACGTGCGACGCTGCGCGACCGACTGTTTATTGGGTGAGCGCGATCGGCGGGGAGACCTTGGCGAGAGGGAGGAGAGGGGTGGGAGCAGGGAGGTCGGAAGAGCGGGGAGAAAAATGCGGGTGAGTTTATCAAGGTGCTATGTGTTGACTGGGATCAATGTGGACAAGGAAAGATTGCTGTGCTCATCCGCGTCACAGAACGACATTGCAATGGTCACAAGGCAATGCGAATGAATTTGTAAAACGGGTTTATACCGTAGATAAGATGCATTTTTTAACTCCAAAGGTTTAATGTCACCTAATTGATGGAGTGCTTGCATTGGTTTCGTCCCCTCCACCCCTCCCCCCACCCCCTCTTCTCTAATAATGAACCACTGACTTGGGGAAGAACTTACAGCACCTCACTACTACCGTAGCAACACACATGGCAGCCCAATTCATGCACTAAAAGGCTATGGTGTTAGGCTGCTATTCCTTAGCTCCTTTAACCCTGGTGGAAGGAAAGGTGGGGAGTGAAAGGTCCAAGGTTACAGAAAGCAATAAAAGATGAAGCACCAACAAGAGATCCACATGGAAATGAGTAATGGTTGAGGAATGGATGGGCAGGGTGGAACGTGTGCGTGCGTGCACAGAGAGGCAGAATCAGGACTCTGCTGAGATGAGGCATGGATGGCATGAGTCGCTTGGGAGATGATAACGGTAGTGAGGTGTCATGAGATTGGTGTCCCGTGGGCTATTGTGATGTGGTAGTGTGGTAGTTAAGTCCCAATGTGTTGTGTCGTGTACTCACCACCGGGTGATATAGTGAGGTCGGACTTCTGCACTATGATCTCGTCTCTTGCCACCACAAACGACTTTTTGAGGCGCCTAAAAGAACAAGTGAAGCCCCCCTGCCCGTGTGTGCTTACCTGGTGACATAAGTGAGGTCTGACGTCTGCACTATGATCTCGTCTCCTGCCACCACAAATGATGGCACCTGCTCGCATGCACAGAGCAGGCAGGCACAAATGGATGGGAAGGATTAGTCGGTGGAAAGAGAAGCAGCAGAAGAGCGGGGAGGAGGATTGGCATGGTATGAGACAGTGGGCGAGTGCATATGATAGCAGTGCGTGGTTCACGTCAAGGTTCTACCGCCCTGCCGCATCAGTGTGAGGAGAAGAATTCTGACGGGCAGCGATGAACACAGGAGGTCAAGATGGTGAACGATGGTCAACAGCTGGAAGGTGAAGTAAGGTGGCGTCTTGACAATGATTGTCGTCTTGGGATTGTCGTTGCTGCTCACCTGAACCGTGATCCCCGATCTCAACTTGACCTTCTTGTACCTGCCGCACCCCGTAAGAGAGAGAGAGAGGGAGAAAGTGAGAGCTGAACCAAGTTTCATAGCAGAGAAGGACAAACTTGGGATAATACGATTTTTGAGGCGCCTCAAAAGTAGTTTCATAGCAGAGAAGGACAAACTTGGGATAATATTTTGGTTAGAGAAATTTAGGGGAGAGAGGTGCAACAGAGGGTGAGGAGCTCTGCAGGCAGGGAGACATGCAGGGATGGAGGAGCGAGAAGGGAAGACGAATCATACGAGGGGGCGGCGGTCTGGCCCTTAAAAAAGGGCTCTGCCTCGTCCACGACATCGGAGACTCTGGCCGGCAGCGATGCAGAGAGGGCCTTGCCGTTGAACAGATGCACCACCACCTCCATGCCGTCTGCACTTACACACACACGGGGGGGGGCATGCATGGACGGAGGGCACATGGGGGGCAGGGCGGGGCAATGCAAAGCGAGGGGGAATTTTGAGACGTCAAAAAGGCAGCGATGCAGAGAGGGCCTTGCCGTTGAACAGATGCACCACCACCTCCATGCCGTCTGCCCTCACACACCGGGGGGGGCATGCATGGCAGACGGGCACCACAGGGCATCATGGCAAGGCGAGGCAAGGCAAGGGAGCGCGGAGAGATGCGGGGGGTGCGGAGCTGGGGAGGTGTGGAGCGGGAGGAGGGGCAGGGGTACCTTCTTGTCGAGGTAGGGTGAGAAGGAATAAATTGCATGATGGATTGATGAAAAGGATCTGATAAGGAAAGACGATGCTGGCTGGGCTGGTCAAAGTCTAGGCTATAGTCCACTGTCTGTTCTTTTGAGACGTCTCAAAAGGCAAAGCCTAGGCTATAGTCCTTTGAGTATTCTCAAAAGTCATACCAAGGTCTAGGCTATAGTCCTTTGAGTATTCTCAAAAGTCATACCAAGGTCTAGGCTATAGTCCTTTGAGTATTCTCAAAAGTCATACCAAGGTCTAGGCTATAGTCCTTTGAGTATTCTCAAAAGTCATACCAAGGTCTAGGCTATAGTCCTTTGAGTATTCTCAAAAGTCATACCAAGGTCTAGGCTATAGTCCTTTGAGTATTCTCAAAAGTCATACCAAGGTCTAGGCTATAGTCCTTTGAGTATTCTCAAAAGTCATACCAAGGTCTAGGCTATAGTCCTTTGAGTATTCTCAAAAGTCATACCAAGGTCTAGGCTATAGTCCTTTGAGTATTCTCAAAAGTCATACCAAGGTCTAGGCTATAGTCCTTTGAGTATTCTCAAAAGTCATACCAAGGTCTAGGCTATAGTCCTTTGAGTATTCTCAAAAGTCATACCAAGGTCTAGGCTATAGTCCTTTGAGTATTCTCAAAAGTCATACCACGGTCTAGGCTTTAGTCCACTGTCTGTCTGTTCAGTTCCCTTCCTCTTTCTTTCTCGTTTTAGTTGTCTTCCGCTCTTTAAGGAAAACAAAAATCGTGCCATACATGACAGAAAAAAAAAACATTATTCTCAGGGTGTGCTTGCCTTGCAGTAAGGGTGCTGCATCGCCAAACATTGACACGGGAAGTGAGATCTGCTCGAATGTTTGCTTCCTGATAGCAGAAGATGGAGAAAAGGCAGGGTGATGAGGATCATGGGGAGAAAACGGGAGGCAACAGCAGATGCCAAATGATTTCACAAAAGAAAGGTGGGGAAGTGGAAGCAAGTAACCGGTGATGGAGAACAGAGAGAGGAACAAATGGACATTGGGTGCAGTGCACTGGATGAAGGAGCAAGAATGGCAGCAGCAGCAGCAGCAGCAGCAGCAACACCACCACCACAACCACCACCAATTTTGTTCGTACTCCTAACTTGGCACCCTTCCATTCTGCCATCGATGCCTGAAGCACTACACGTATGTGTGCGTGCACGCACTTGCCCCAAGCTTGCTTGACTCCCACCCCATGCGCTCATGCCATGCGTGCACACATGCGTGATGCGTTCACTCACTCCATGAGGCAAGCGTTGTCCTCGTCCACATAGAGAAACACAAAGGGCTTGTCATCTGAGAACACCACTGCGGTACGTAGGGGTTCAAAACGGTATGAGGGGATCCGGGCAGTAAGGGATGAGGACGGAGGGAACACGAGGTGGCTAGGCAAGCGTTGTCCACGTCCACATAGAGGAACACAAAGGGCTTGTCATCCGAGAACACCACTGCGGTGAGCATCGGACCGGTGGAGTGAGGGACGAGGATGGGGAGGAAAGGGAAAGTGAGTGAGGCAGGGCGGGTGGGGTGGACAGGCAAGCGTTGTCCTCGTCCACGTAGAGCAACACAAAGGGCTTGTCATCCGAAAACACCACTGCGGTGGGTGGGTAGGGGATCAGAGGGGTACGGGGACGGGTGGGTGGCTTTTAAGTTGGCTTAGAGGTAACCTCACAAAGGGCTTGTCATCTGAGAACACCACTGCGGTGGAGAAGGGAGCAAGCAGTACGCGGGGTGAGGACGCGGAGGAAGGGGAAGATGAGTGAGGCAGGGTGGGAGGGTGGGGCAGGGTGGGTTTTCATGGTGGGACCCCAGAAAGATGGATGAAGAGTAACCGGGAAAGACAAAACCTCACATTTGAAATTGAAACCCAGACGAGAGGCATGGAATTGAGTGGTTACGACTGGAGAAATGGCCGCGACTGGAAGCCTTCAATAGTTGAAGGGAGAGCAGGGCGGAAAAAGAGCAGGAGGGGCGGAGAGCACGAGCTGACTGACGTTCAATGTGCTCGGAGGTGCGCAGCTTCTCGTTGCTCTTGAGGCCCGTCTGCACGTCCCGCAGCTCCACCTGTGGCACAACAGCACCCACATGGACACGCACACACATGCAGGACGCGGGGTAGGCGCCGAGGGGACCGCCAGAGTGTGGGGGAAGGGGAGGGGAAGGGGTCAGGGGGAGCCGCAGAGACTGGGCACGGAGGCATGGGGCAGAGGCAGGGCGCAGCATGTTTAAGATGGACCTGGAGTGGTGAAAGGTGGTGTGGGGAAATGGCAGCATGAGAAGCAGTGGGGGAAGATTGGGGCAGTGCTGGTTTGATGGCACGTGGCACATGGTGTGTGTGTGTGTGTGTGTACCTGAATGGTGGCACCGCCACGGCCTTGCTGTGTGTGCTGCGTCTTCACAACCTGGATAAGGAGGCGGATAGGAGATGGAGGAGGAGGAGGAGGAGGGAGATGCAATGCATGAGAGAAACGCGTTGTGGCACAACTAGCAAACCTAATGTGGAGTGGACGCACCCTGATGGTAATAACTTTGGTCTGTGTGTGTGTTCACGGCACATTCAGACGCTTGCGCCCGCACCACTCATGCATGTACCCACGCAAGTGGCAATCGACCATGTGCATGCACTATGAACTCATTTGCATGCGCATTTGTAGCAGCAGCAGGAGCAGCAGCAGCAGCAGCAGAAGCAGCAGCAGCAGCAGCAGAAGCAGCAGCAGCAGCAGCAGCAGCAGCAGCAGCAGCAGCAGCAGAAGCAGCAGCAGCAGCAGCAGCAGCAGCAGCAGCAGAAGCAGCAGCAGCAGCAGCAGCAGCAGCAGCAGAAGCAGCAGCAGCAGCAGCAGCAGCAGCAGCAGCAGCAGCAGCAGCAGAAGCAGCAGCAGCAGCAGCAGCAGCAGCAGCAGCAGCAGCAGCAGCAGCAGCAGCAGCAGCAGCAGCAGCAGCAGCAGCAGCAGCAGCAATACACACACCTGGAAATATCTGCCTGCATCAGAGGATCCACGTGGCATGGCATGACATGGCATTGCCCGACGTCAACAGGGCAGCACATGGAACGGGAAGTGGAGGAGGAGGCGGATGGGAAGGGGGCAGTCAGATGGAGGCGGTGAGACATGGACTGATACGAGACATGTGAGACAAAGCTTCGTGTGAGACAATGCATGGTGTGAAACATCAGAAAGGTGAAAGATGTAACAGTGGGCAAAGAAAGAACAAGGGCTAGATCGTTGGTGGATGCAAGAGAGAGAGAGATAGATAGAGAGAATGATGTCTGGTAAGGTGAGGTGCATTGTATTGTGTGCACAGCAGCAGCAGCAGCAGGTTTGGAATGCCTCACCTTTTCGCTCTATGACACTGCCCACTTTCACCTGCGCCCACATAACACCCATCCGCACATGCCCACATGCACACATGCCCACATGGACACATGCCCACATAGACAAGGGGGAAACACATACATAAGTGCACGTACATAACACACATTCTGCTGTATAAAGCTAACGCCTTTCTAGATGTTGCACAAGCGATGGACTAAAGAACCATGGCTGCCCGCATGGGAGGGTGCATTGCCATCCACCCTCCCTCCTTCCCCTTCCCTACCGCGACGCTCATTCTCTTCTCGCCCCCACAAGTGCCACCACCCACACTCCCACCCTCCGTTCCCAGGCCCTACTGCTACGTCCTAATCTCCCCAACACCCCTCGAAAAACAACCTATTCTTTCAGGCGCACATATAATTTCGCCTCCTCCCTTCCGCTTCCCCTTCCCTGCTCTCCCTCTACGCTCCCCCCTCCGCTCCCCCCTACGCCGCACCTCCGACCCCGTGACCCGCGCGTGGCGCACGCTTTGCGCCAGCCCGCCGCGGCTCAGCGGACCCGTTGCCAGCTGTTGCCACAGCAGCCCGCCTTCCACCGCCGCCGATCGCGGAGCAACAGTCGCTGCGTGGCCGCTGGTGAGCCGCTGCACCGTGGATCGCGCGTTGGAACTGATCATGACCGTCGGATCAGTTGCCGCGGTTTCAGGAGATGTCACGGTGGCGGGAGATGCGCCTCCGAATGTAGATGACGTGGCATGGGAGATGTGATTTGGGCTGATCTCATTGGAGGACGTCTGTGCGGGAACTGACAAGAGCGTCGCGACGTTGTGCGACACAGCGGCGACGACGGATTCATGGCATGCGCCTTTGCTGCTGCGATGCCGAGCGACTGCACGTGCGACGGTGAGCATGGCGGCGATAACAGCCAATTTTGCGGCAGAAACTGCGGCGGTGCGGCGGGGACTGCGGTGGTGAATGAGGTGGTCGTGCTAGTGTTGGTGAATTTGACAGGGCAGGGAATCTTCTGACCAATGACAAGTGGTTCACGATCGGATAGGTATTGTATATAGCAGCCAGGTGTTAAGAGTGCAATTGAGTGAACGAACGAGAATTGCACTATCGAAGCAAGAGTACAAAGAGCGAAGGTATGAGCGAAGGATATATAGCGAAACTACAGTGGTAACGGTAATGGACTGTAGTTGTCGCGCGACGGGCCTGGGACTGAGGTTAGGAAAAGTGTCGAAGCGGAGGCCCGGAGCGCGGGTTACCCGCCGAGCCGTGAGGTCGGGGTGCGACGTGCGAAGGTGGCGGGCGGATTGTCGATGCGAGGATTGCGAGTGGTAACGGTGCTGACTGTGGCGCTACAGTGATGTACGCGTTGAGCAGGGACGCGAAGTAAGGAAAAAGAGATTTTCCTTACACTACCCCCCCCCTTAAGGAGGTCCTCCTTACGAAAGTGCGTGTACATCCCTGAAATTCCGGCTGCACAGATACTCGGTGAGGACGGGGTGGTTTTCGATTCTGTCCAGGGGAACCCAATTGTCTTCGGTGGGTGTACGGTCCTTCCAGCGGAGTAAGAACTCGATCCTTCGGGCTCCTCGAGGGTCGCGAACTCTGTGACTCAGGATTTTCTCGGGGGTGATGATTGGTTCAGTCAGTGATCTTGTCATGCTGGCTGGGCGATTGCGTGGCAGTTGGCTCGTGGACGGGACGTAAGGGCCAAGCAGGCTGACGTGGAACGAGGGGCTGACGTACCAGCCAGCAGGGAGGAGGAGGTGGGCGGTGACAGGTGTAAGCATGTGGCTTATGCGAAATGGCCCGCAGTATCGGGGGCGGAGTTTCGGGGTGATGGGCAGTCGGAGATTTTGGGTGTCGAGCAAAACTAAGTCGTCGGGCTGGTAAGTGACAGGTCTGCGGTGGCGGTCGGCGTTGCGTTTAGCGATGATGTTAGCTTTTTTAAGTGCGTCTGCTGCCCTGGTCCGTGCTGCTTGCAAAATTTCGGCGAAATGTTGCGCGCGTGGAACCGGGTTGTCGGGATTCGGGGTCATGGGTACTGTTGGGTCTTGTCCGTAATTCAGGTAAAACGGTGATTGTTGGGTCGTGGCGGATGGGGCGTTGTTGTATGCGAATTCGATGAGTGGCAGCTGCTGTTCCCACGTGTTTGGGTCGTCGCACGTGGCCCGGATGAGCTGTTCCATGGTCTGATTTGTCCGTTCTGTCTGTCCGTCTGTTTCGGGGTGGTACGATGAACTGAACTGTAGTCGCGTGCCGAACTGCTGCCACAGGTTCCGCCAGAAGTTGCTGGTGAATTTCGTGTCTCTGTCACTGATGATTGATGCTGGTATCCCGTGCAGTCGAACGACGGTAGAGATGAAGAGGCGGGCTGTTTCTTCGGCTGTGATTGATTTTTTGCAGGCTGCGAAGTGTGCCATTTTCGTCAGTCGATCGACGACGACCAGGATCGCGTCATTTCCACTCGCCCCGGCCGGTAACCCCGTGACGAAGTCCATCGTCACCTGCTGCCAAGCACGCTCTGGAGGTGGGATTGGCTGCAACTGTCCCGCCGGCCGCTTCCGTGTTGACTTCATGATCTGGCAAGTGGGACACGATGCCACGTGTCGCTGCACGTCGGTCAACATTTCGGGCCAGTAATAATACCGCTGCAGCTGCTGCCGTGTTTTCTCTACCCCGAAATGTCCCGAGGTAACCCCGTCGTGTGCCTCTTGTAATAGTAATTCCCGTAGCAGTGTGTACCCTGGTACCCAGATGCGGTCGGTCCCGGCTTTTACGTAATAGACTCCCTTGGCTGCTGCGAACTGCTGCGAATTTCCTCCTGTGAAGAATGGGTCCGTTTGATATCCGTGGGTAAATAGTCCTGTCAGTAGCGGGCTGGTCTGGGCGAGTAGTATCGCGTGGATCTGGGCAGTGGGGCGGGTCAGTGCGTCGGCGATGTTCGAGGCTCCTTTTTTATAGGTGACTGTGTAGTGGAAGTTTGACTCGAGGAAATCGAGCCACCGAATCTGTCGTGGGTTGAGGTGGGGCTGTGCGCGGAGGTACTGTAGTGATCGGTGGTCTGTCCGTACTGTCACGTCTGCGCCGGTCAAGTAGCAGCGCCACACTTTGAACGCATGCACGATCGTGAGCATTTCGCGGTCGTGTATCGGGTAATTTCGCTCGGGCGGATGCAGTTTTCGTGACTCGTATGCGATGGGCTGTAGGCCGTTGCCGAAGTCCTGTAGCAGTATGGCTCCAATGGCGATGTCGCTTGCGTCTGTAACAACCTCGAAGGGGCGGTGTGGGTCGGCGATGCGCAGGACGGGCGGTGAACAGAGAATATTTTTCAGGGCAGAGAAGGCAGCATGCTCTTTCTCCCCCCACGTAAAAACGACCCCTTTTCGCAGTAAATCCGTCAGCGGGGCAGTCAACTGTGCCATGTCGGGGACGAACCGACGAACATAATTAACGAACCCTAAAAAACTCTGCAGTTCCGTGATGTTCGTCAGGGGACGCCACGCTTTTACCGTATCCAGCTTCTTTGGGTCGATTTCAACTCCAGCCTCCGAAATAACGTGCCCCAAGAATTCTAGTCTGTCCCGAAAAAACTCGCACTTAGAGCCCTTGGTTAGTAACCGATGTTCCTCTAAAACTTTAAATACTGCTTCGAGATCCGCTAAATGTTGCTGCTTGTCGCGACTGTAGACGAGGATGTCGTCGAGGTAAACTATCACGCATTTATCTAAGAGTGGCCTAAACGCCTCGTTCATGGTCATCTGAAATGTTGCGGGCGCGTTGGTCAGCCCGAAAGGCATCACCGTGTACTCAAACGACACGTACCTAGTCCTAAATGCTGTCTTGGCGCAGTCCGATGGTTCGACCCGAATCTGATGGTAACCCCCCCGTAAGTCTATTTTCGAAAACACCCGTGCTGTTCGCTGTTGGTCGATCAGTTCGTCGGCGCGGGGAATGGGGTACCGCGACTTGACTGTTACCCTGTTGAGCGCTCGGTAATCGATGCACATGCGAAACCCTCCGTCTTTTTTCGGTGTGAACAGTATCGGTGCGGCGAACGGTGACGAACTTGGTCGAATAAACTGCTTCTTTAACAAATAATCTAACTGCTTCCTCAGTTCGTCGAGCTCGGGCTGTGTCAGTCTGAACTGGCGCTGTACAGTTGGCTGTGCCCCCGGTTCTAACTCGATCCTATGATCATGCGCCCGCTGAGGTGGCAGCCCTTCCGGTAAGTCGTCTGGAAAAATCCCCGGGTACCGTTTCAACAGTTCCTGTAGTTCGGGCGGTACTGCTGCCAACAGTTTCTGAAAATCGCTCGGCTGCTCCGCTTCTCCTACTAATGCTATATCTACTGCGTACACGTCAGCTCCAGCGGCGACAACCCGTTTCATCGTGATGGCGTTGACGTGGACCGTTGAAGACTCGGGCGACTGCCAGCGAGGTAGCATGACCCAGTTACCGCTACTTCGCACAGTGCAGCTACCCGTCGTCCAGTCAATTCGTGGGTTGTACCGTCGTAGCCAATCACGTCCCAGTAAAACATCATGCCCATCCAATGTCGTCGCGAGCATTTCCTGTGTAAACCCGAAGTTTCCCCCGCAGCGAACTTTTACTCTCTCCACCTTCTCCCGTATGGCCAGCGGCGTGCCGTCAACTAAGCGTGCGTCGATCTCAGGTAAGCAGCGACTAAGTGTCAGTTGTAATTTTCGCGCAGTTGCGGTATTGACTAAACTGTGGCTTGCTCCTCCATATGTGCCACCCCACTATAGCCTACAGTAGCTATGTCATATAAATCTGACAGCGACATCGCCATTGGAGCCGTACTGCTACAGGACTTCGGCAACGGCCTACAGCCCATCGCATACGAGTCACGAAAACTGCATCCGCCCGAGCGAAATTACCCGATACACGACCGCGAAATGCTCGCGATCGTGCATGCGTTCAAAGTGTGGCGCTGCTACTTGACCGGCGCAGACGTGACAGTACGGACAGACCACCGATCACTACAGTACCTCCGCGCACAGCCCCACCTCAACCCACGACAGATTCGGTGGCTCGATTTCCTCGAGTCAAACTTCCACTACACAGTCACCTATAAAAAAGGAGCCTCGAACATCGCCGACGCACTGACCCGCCCCACTGCCCAGATCCACGCGATACTACTCGCCCAGACCAGCCCGCTACTGACAGGACTATTTACCCACGGATATCAAACGGACCCATTCTTCACAGGAGGAAATTCGCAGCAGTTCGCAGCAGCCAAGGGAGTCTATTACGTAAAAGCCGGGACCGACCGCATCTGGGTACCAGGGTACACACTGCTACGGGAATTACTATTACAAGAGGCACACGACGGGGTTACCTCGGGACATTTCGGGGTAGAGAAAACACGGCAGCAACTGCAGCGGTATTATTACTGGCCCGAAACGTTGACGGACGTGCAGCGACACGTGGCATCGTGTCCCACTTGCCAGATCATGAAGTCAACACGGAAGCGGCCGGCGGGACAGTTGCAGCCAATCCCACCTCCAGAGCGTGCTTGGCAGCAGGTGACGATGGACTTCGTCACGGGGTTACCGGCCAGGGCGAGTGGAAATGACGCGATCCTGGTCGTCGTCGATCGACTGACGAAAATGGCACACTTCGCAGCCTGCAAAAAATCAATCACAGCCGAAGAAACAGCCCGCCTCTTCATCTCTACCGTCGTTCGACTGCACGGGATACCAGCATCAATCATCAGCGACAGAGACACGAAATTCACCAGCAACTTCTGGCGGAACCTGTGGCAGCAGTTCGGCACGCGACTACAGTTTAGTTCATCGTACCACCCCGAAACAGACGGACAGACAGAACGGACAAATCAGACCATGGAACAGCTCATCCGGGCCACGTGCGACGACCCAAACACGTGGGAACAGCAACTGCCACTCATCGAATTCGCATACAACAACGCCCCATCCGCCACGACCCAACAGTCACCGTTTTATCTGAATTACGGACAAGACCCAACAGTACCCATGACCCCGAATCCCGACAACCCGGTTCCACGCGCGCAACATTTCGCCGAAATTTTGCAAGCAGCACGGACCAGGGCAGCAGACGCACTTAAAAAAGCTAACATCATCGCTAAACGCAACGCCGACCGCCACCGCAGACCTGTCACTTACCAGCCCGACGACTTAGTTTTGCTCGACACCCAAAATCTCCGACTGCCCATCACCCCGAAACTCCGCCCCCGATACTGCGGGCCATTTCGCATAAGCCACATGCTTACACCTGTCACCGCCCACCTCCTCCTCCCTGCTGACTGGTACGTCAGCCCCTCGTTCCACGTCAGCCTGCTTCGCCCTTACGTCCCGTCCACGAGCCAACTGCCACGCAATCGCCCAGCCAGCATAACAAGACCACCGACTGAACCAATCATCACCCCCGAGAAAATCCTGAGTCACAGAGTTCGCGACCCTCGAGGAGCCCGAAGGATCGAGTTCTTACTCCGCTGGAAGGGCCGTACACCCACCGAAGACAATTGGGTTCCCCTGGACAGAATCGAAAACCACCCCGTCCTCACCGAGTATCTGCGCAGCCGGAATTTCAGGGATGTACACGCACTTTCGTAAGGAGGACCTCCTTAAGGGGGGGGGTAGTGTAAGGAAAATCTCTTTTTCCTTACTTCGCGTCCCTGCTCAACGCGTACATCACTGTAGCGCCACAGTCAGCACCGTTACCACTCGCAATCCTCGCATCGACAATCCGCCCGCCACCTTCGCACGTCGCACCCCGACCTCACGGCTCGGCGGGTAACCCGCGCTCCGGGCCTCCGCTTCGACACTTTCCCAACCTCAGTCCCAGGCCCGTCGCGCGACAACCACAGTCCATTACCGTTACCACTGTAGTTTCGCTATATATTCTTCGCTCATACCTTCGCTCATTGTACTCTTGCTTCGATAGTGCAATTCTCGTTCGTTCACTCAATTGCACTCGTAACAGAAAGAAAGACATAGATAAAGGAGAAAGGAAATGAAGAAAGAAAGGGAGAATGAAAATGAAACTGCCATAGAGATCCCAAATGCAACACACATAAAACCCCCCCTCAATATACCCAATCAAAACGCCCAGTCAAGACACCCCATCAAGACATCCCATCCCACACCCGATTTCGACCCCCCCCCCCCCCCCCCCCCATTCACAACAGCGTAGCCACCATGTACGGGGCCTCCACCCAGAGAGCCCCGCCTTCCATATCGACATCGTCCCTCTCCCGGTCCACCAAATCTACGTTAATCCCCCCCATGGAAGACGCCGCTCGAAGCAGGATGACACGGGCTTGCGCACGTTGTAACGCCACCCCGATGAGCGCCTTCAATGACCCTAAAAGATAAGCCGAAAACACAGTGTCGTCCTCCCGACAAGCCCCCCGCGACACAGCTAGCCCCACGTGCGCATCTCCCTGCTGACGAAGCCACCGCCGAAAACGACCGTCGAGACACCCCCACGTCTCTACTATCAGAGAGGTGAACTGCACGCCCCGGTTGCGTGCAAGCAGAGGCGCGTAATCACTAGTTTTGCGACGCTCCCACTCTCTTGCCGCCACACCAATGACAAGTGGTGGTCATAGAGTGACTCGCAATAGCCACAACCTTTCTGTGCACCAACTTTTTTATCTCGCTTATTTTAGCATTTCGATAGTGTAATTCTCAATTTGAGTTAGTTTTGTTACAGCTGGTTACCAATCTCTGACCATCTCTTCCTCCTCGCAACTGGGATGGTTCATCATGAGATCTGTGCACCACCGCACCCGAGCTCACCACACACCTCCGCATTCCCCACTGACACTTCACTACTGACTTGACTGACGCCAACCAATGCCTACCGGCGAATCCGTGGCTCTGTGTGGTTCCTCGTTTCGCCACCGCCTACCCTCCGTATCGAAATAATCTCTGACAGCGCGTCTCTAGCTCGCCGTTGTGATGTGATCCGCGGCGCTGTTCTACTCGCGCATCCATTATTGGTCGGATCGAATTAGTCAGTCTCGTTGAGAAGCCGCAATGGCGGAGGAGATTTCAGCCAATGGCTTTGCGCAAGACCTCGCCGAGCCGCCTCTCGGGGAAGACGGATCGGCGTCCGTTATGTCGCCGACGTCAGGCGCGGCTCGGCCTACGAACCTGGCCTCCTTATTTGGCGACGATAAAGACCCGCAGGTAGGACGAAATAGCAGGATCCAGAAGGCGCTAAGGAGGAATCAGGGGAAACAAGGAAACGGCTTCGTTGTCGTGATTTTGAAGGGACGTCAGGAAGATAGGGAAGAGGAGTTCGTGGTGGTGTGGTGAGAAGGAGTAAGGTGGCGTATAGTGCCAGCCTGTAGCGGCGTGCGTGAGGTAGGACGGCATAGCGATTACGGTGCCATGCGATCATGTGAGGGAGACGACGGCAGCAATGTCCGGCTGTGGGAAATCCTATCAGCGAGTGGGGACACGTCCGCAAGGGTTCCGCAGAGCGTGGCTCGCGGAGAGCACGGCCAAGACGGATTATAGAATCCTCGAAAATCTCCTAGATTCCTCTAGAATTCTGTCGAATCTCCTATAGTAACTCAGAATCTCTTGAAATCCTGCCGGCCAGGCTATGTCCAGGCAATGCGTGAAAGCCAGGCCAGGGTGATCCAGGACCAGCAGGACTGCTACTGAATAAAAGCCGGTCACTTGGACCTGCCGTCCTTGATCGCCGCTTAGTGAATCCATGTCTCACTCGCGCCTTCCCCGCTCCCGTCCGCCAGTCCTCCGCCCGTGTTTCCACCCTTTCTTCCGTGCCTTCCCCCCGTCTGCCTTCCCTTCCATCATATCCCTGTGCCGGCCTCCCGCTGCCCCACCTCCATATATCCCACCACTCCCTATCCCCGACTGCGCTTGTCCCGCGTGTCCCCCTCTCACCAGCCCATGTGGCTGGACAAGTCAGCGTTCCTGGACCCGTCGTTCGACCTTTGAGTCCAATAAGAGGACCAGATCTTTCTCCCCCAACTTCTCTGTACCCACGCCCTCCTGTCCTGTCCCTCCTGTCTGCACTTCCCCCCACCAGCCCATGTGGCTGGACAAATCAGCGTTCCTGGACCCGTCGTTCGACCCAGACGCGTACATAGCGACGGTGCGGCGCATAGCGCCGTTGGAGTCGGTGCGCGCGGAGCTGAGGGAGCACCTGGCGGCGCTCAAGAGCGAGCTGGTGGAGCTCATCAACCGCGACTACAACGACTTTGTCAACCTCTCCACCAAACTCGTGAGTTCTCAAACACAGAACTAGCCCCAACATCCGCATGCCACCCAATCGTTCCCATTTTTTCTCCCTCACTCTCCCGTCCCTCTTTCTATTTCGTCCTTCCTCCCCTCCCCCCCTCCCTGTCCCCTTTCCCCTTCCATTCCCACCCTTCCCATTCAGGTGGACGTGGACGGGGCAGTGCTGCGCATGAGAGTCCCTCTCACAGAGCTCAGGGCGCAGCTGCTGGCAGTGCGCAGCAGCGTGGCAGCGGCGCCAGCAGCGCTAGAAGACGGGCTGGCGCGCAGGGCAGAGGCGGCCACAGCGCGCCAAATACTAGAACTGCTGCTAGACACCTCCAACGTCCTCTCCAAGGTCGAGAAGCTGCTGCTCGAGCTGCACGCCATGCCCGACGCCCCTCCCCTCCCACCCTCCTCTGCCTCCGCCTCCTCCTCCTCTTCCGCGTCTGCCTCTGCTTCCGCCCCAGCAGCGCCCACTGCATCTGCGTCCCCAGGCAAAAGACCTCCGGCTTCTATCTCTGCAGCAGCAGCAGCGAGGAATGGTCCTGTTAAGGGTGGGGGTGGGGAGGGGAGTGCAGGGGAGGAGGGGGGGGATGCGGCGGCGGGCGTGGGGGCGGGGAGGGATGCGGAGAGGGAGTTGGAGGAGGCGCGGAGTCGGTTGCTAGAGCGGATTGCAAGTGAGATGAACCGCCTCAACTTCTACGTGGCCAAGGGAAAGGTGAGAGAGAGAGAGAGAGCACAGCATGTGAGGTGATTGTTGAGGCACGTGAAAAGTGCCGAGTTTTGGAAGCACACCCATGCAATGCAATGCACGCACGCACACAGAAAACCCAGCCCCCCACACCTTGCTTCCGACTCCCTGCGCTGCGCCCACTCCCCGCTTCCTTCTCCCTGCTTCCCACTCCCCGCTTCCCACTCCCCGCTTCCCACTCCCTGCTTCCCACTCCCTGCTTCCCACTCCCCGCTTCCCACTCCCCACTCCCCACTCTCCCCTTGCACCGCTCGCCCCCCCTGCAGGACCTGCCGTTCGTGCGCTCGGTAGAGGGGCGCATCCGGCAGGCCAGCAGCATGCGCTCCGAGTCGACTCAAAACGCGTCCCATTCTCCCCCCCACCTCCCGCCTTCTCTGCGCGGCAGGACCCGCCGTTCGTGCCGTCAGTGGAGGGGCGCATCCGGCAGGGCAGGCCAGCAGCACTTTTTAGTCGACTCAACCACCCCCCCCCCTTCCTCCCCCGCAACCCTCACCCCCTCACCCGCTCTGCAGGATCTTCCATTCGTGCGGTCAGTGGAGGGGCGCATCCGGCAGGCCAGCAGCACGCTGGCAGCGCACCTGCGGCGGTGCCTGGAGCGCGGGCTGCACCAGCGCTGGCGCCGTGTCGTCTACCACTGCCTGCGCGCCTTCGCCTCCCTTGACGCCGCTGCTGACGCTGAAGAGCTTTTCTGCCGGGCCGTCGTTGCTCCCCTTGTGGCACAGGCGCTGCTGGGAGCAGCAGCAGCGGGAGGAGGAGCAGGAGGAGGGAAGCAGCAGCAGCAGCCGCAGGAGCAGGCGCCGCCGTCACCCAAGTCCCCGTCCTCACCCACCGCAGCTGGAGCAGCAGGCGACTTGCTGCAAGGCGTGTACGAGCGCATCGAGGGAGCAGTCTCCGAGGCGTGCCAGTTTGTGGTGGGCATTGTAGCATCGGCGGATGCTGGCTTGCATGTGTTCCAGTTCCTGGCCGCCAGTGTGCTGAAGGAGGTGGCTGCTGCGCTGCACCGGTCGCACGCTGCTGCCTTCTCCCCAGGCCGACCTGCACAGTTCCTGCTCAACTACAAGGCGTCGCTTGACTTTCTCGCCTTCCTGGAAGGTGTGCTTTCGTGCTCTTGGAGCAAGAGCAAGAGCAAGAGCATACTCAAGTGTCAAAACCAACCTCGGGAGCTCGCACCCACTGCAATGCTATTCTCAGGTTTTGTTTGTTTGTCTGTTCTGTTTCACCACCACAGTTCTCTCTGCAACCTTTCCTCCCTTCTTTCCCTCCTCAGCTGTCCTTGATTATTGGCCCTTGTTTCATGGACCTGTGCTTCTCACGCTTCCTCTTTTCTATCCTCACATTTCACGTCTCTGTCCCGTTCTGTTCTGTTCTGCTCTCCCCTGAGTCCAGGCTTCTGCACGAGCCGTGAATCCCTCGCCTCCTTCCGCGCGCATCCCTGCTACTCGGATTTCCTCAAGGGCTGGAACCTCGCTGTCTACTATGCATCTCGGTACGCCCACTGCTTTCTGCCTTTCCGCCTTCCAGACCTCACGCTTTTCCAGGTCTCATGCTCCCAGGTTTCATGCTCCCATGTCCTTCCCTTCCTGTTGCAGGCGTTTTTTGAGCGTTCCAGAAGGATCATTGTCTTCCTCTTCACACTGCCTCTTGTATCTTTGCCCTCCCCTCTCGGTTACCCATCCCTCCACTCATAAGCCCCTCTCCCCACCCTCCCCTCTCTCCAATCATCCACCTCCGTTTCCCCAACCCCTCCCTCCCTCCCTCCCTCCCGCCCGCCCTCCCTCCCTCCCTCCCTCCCTCCCTCCCTCCCTCCCTCCCTCCCTCCCTCCCTCCCTCCCTCCCTCCCTCCCTCCCTCCCTCCCTCCCCTCCCTCCCTCCCTCCCTCCCTCCCTCCCTCCCTCCCTCCCTCCCTCCCTCCCTCCCTCCCTCCCTCCCTCCCGCCCTCCCTCCCTCCCTTCCTCCCGCCCGCCCGCTCTCCCTCGCTCCGCAACACCTCTCTCTCCCTTCAGCTTTCGGGAAATTGCCGGGCTGCTGGACGACGCGCTGGTGCCGCCGCCCGCCAGCTCAGCGGCAGCAGCGGCGCGCGTGGCGGTGCAGAGGGCAGCAGCACCGGGCATGGGAGTGGGGCTGCAGGCATCAGTGGTGCTGTGGGAGGCGCTGCAGCGCTGCTGGCACCCCGCCGTCTTCATCCCCTGCATCGCCGACAAGTTCCTGCGCCTCACTCTGCAGCTGCTCTCCCGGTGAGTGTGCCTGGTTGTCTTGGTGGGTGGCTGGCTGGCTAGCTGGGTGGCTGGGACTGCTGATTGGAAGACAAGTTCCTGCGCCTCATTCTGCAGCTGCTCTCTCAGTCAGCGCCTAGGTGCCTAGGTGCCTAGGTGCCTGGGTGTCTGGGTGTCTGGGTGGCTGGGTGTCTGGCTGAGTTGGCTGCATTTGATTGGCTGCTGTTGACTTCTGTTGTACGTGAGATTCTACCTTTGATACTTCTTCATACCAAGTTCGTGCGCTTCACGCCTGTCCTCCCATCCTCCCCTTCCCCATTCCCGTCCTCCCGTTTCCTTGATCAGGTTCGGCAAGTGGGTGATGGCGGGCGTGGCAGCAAGGAGAGCAGGATCAGCAGCAGACAATCCCGGAGGCGAGTGGGGGCTAGCAGCCACACCAGAGGACCTCGCTCTGGTACGATACGACGACCCTCCCTTGCTCATTTCTGACACTCCATAAAAGTGTGATCAATGATTTGCAACAGCCAGGTAGCGGCCAGCCAGCCTTCCAGATGACCTCGCTCTGACATTCCGACTCTCCCGTTCATCCCCCTTGCTCTATCCTCTCCGCTTCCGCAGATGTGGCACGACCTGCTAGTGCTCTCGTCCAACATCAGAGCAGCGTACGTGGGCGAGCTGGTGCAGCAGCTGGGGCCGGGGGTGACAGGGGAGGTGCGGGCAGCAGTGCAGGGCGAGGTGGAGAGTGCAGCGGATGGGCTGCATTCCCTCACAGCGCATGTGGCTGCACTGCTCTCGGATATCACTGCAGACCGATGCATCGAGGTGAGACATTTCAAAACTCGCTGCTCTTGGATATCCGAGATCTCACAAAACTCACCTCACTGCCGAACGATGCATCGAGGGTGGTGCTGCCGCTGCCACATGCTCACCCACTCACTCCCACTCTCACGGTTCCCCGCGCACTCTCCTGTTGCCTGTGGGTCTCTCCTGCTCACTCTTGCTTGCTCCCACTGCCCCCTTGCCTTCGCTTCTTCCATGGTGTTCGAGCTCATGCTTCCTCCCTTGCTCGTCGTCTCACCCTGTCTCGCCGTTCGTGTAAAGAGGTTATTTTTGAGACGTCTCAAAAGCAACCTCTTTACACGTGCCTTGCTCCCACTGCCCCCATGCCTTCGCTTCTTCTATGACGTTTGACCATGTGCTTCCTTCCTCCCTCGTCGTCTCACCCCGTCTCGCCTTCCTCCCTCCCGTGTTTCCTTCTTTCACAGGTCTTGAGGCCTGTGCGTGCAATAGCAGCCATGTACCGTGTGCCCAGTCGCCCGCCCCCCACCCGCCACTCACACTATGTACCGGGCGTGCTTCAACCACTCAAGGTACTGCCTCCTCCACGTAATTCTTCCTGCTGCAGTGCCTTCTGCCTTGAATGCTCGTGTGCTTGGTTACGTTCTAGCTTTGTTCTTCTCCTTGCAAATCACCTGCTATCTCTCTTTCATTTGTGCTTCTACTCTGCCCCTGCCCCGGCGTCTGCCCCTGGGTCTGTTCTTGAGTCTGCCCGCGCGTCTGCCCGCGCGTCTTCCCTTCCCCTGCCCCTGTCCCTGCCCCTGCCCCTTCCCCTGCCCTTCCCTGCCCCTGCGCTGTTCTGGATGGATAGCCCTGTTCACCACTCTCCGACCAGCAGTCATCTCGTCACCTCCAACTCACTCTCACCAGTTCTCGACCCGCTCCTTATCCCTCTTATACTCCTCCCTTTCCTCAAACCCTCTCTCTCTCCCCTTGCTCGCCCTGTCTGAACTGAATCTTGGCATTCTTTTACCAGGTTGTGCTGGAAGGTGACAAAGCACGTGCAGCAGCAGGGGGGGCAGGAGGGGCGGAGGAGGTGTGGAGTGAGGAGATGAGGGCGGTGGTGGTGGGTCAGGTGGTGGAGCGGGTCACTCAGAAGTTCGACGAGCTCGCCAAGGAGGTCGTTGCCACGGTATGCACGCACACACGCACACACACACGCCCGCACGCATGCACGCACACACACACGCCCGCACGCTTGCACGCACACACGCCCGCATGCATGCATCACTGGTGGGCATCATGGTTAGGATCATCCGCCCCTTGACCCCCCCCCCCCCCCCCCCGGGAATGGCACGGATGCCGGGATTCTTCTTATATCCCACCTGCCGTTGTCTCTTCCCCCTTTGTGTGCATGTCACCACCAGGCGCGACGCACGGAGTCATCACTGAAGCTGCTGCAGCAGCGCTCCATGAAGCGGCCCCCGGGAGCAGCGGATGCAGGGGGGGCATCAGGCATGTCAGACACGGATAAGATCATTGGACAGCTCTTCCTGGACGTGCAGGTGCGTGCATGTGGCTCGCAGGCAGGCAGAGGGTGTGGGTGGGTGCACGTGTGCATGTTCTGTGTTGCTGTACACCCAGGTTTGGTCAGTGCATGGAACTTCTCAGTGTGGGACTTTATCTAACGTCAGTCTTCCTTGTCTCGGTTCTCCCATACCTCCTCGTCCGTTCCAGGAGTACGGCCGCATCATCCGCACGTTTGGGCTGGAGCCGACAACTGTTGCACCATTTGCGTCACTTTGGGCCTGTGTGGCGCCAGCAGACAGGCAGGACATGAGCTTTTAGGGTCTGCTTTGGTAGATGGATGTCTCCAATAGATGCTGAGAGCAAAGCTTGGGTTATAATTTTGAGTACGGCAGCACAATCATGTCGCGTTTACGAATTAACCGCTGGTTTTCTCTTGTTCTAGTGTACTGTATGATGGCTATGGGCTGGCGTGGGTTTGTTTCATTGATGCCCAAACGAACCAACCGACTGACGAAGTTGGTAGCGTTGGCTACGATAAAAAGGTATATATGATAGACCCTTTGTTTCGTTGAAAGGCGCCTGTTAGTCCAGGAGGTTTCATATTGTAAGGGGTTGATATGAATGATCTGCTGGTGTGACTGCAATCCAGAGGACTGATGTTATGTATTTCTGTTACCGTAACTACTTTTCTGGTCACACCGCCACCGTGTTCTCACCCTCTCCGGCACCCGTCCCCACGCCTAGCTTCTCACCCTCACCCAAAATCCTCTCGCCCCAGCTCCCCAACCCCACCGTAACCCTACACCCCATCCCCCTGATCCCTGCATGAATTCGACCTAGTAGCCGAACGCTCGTTACACTCACATTTGTGTGGCTTCTATATATTCTTCAGCAGGGAAGTGGTGTAGTGTAGTGCAACCAGAAGACAAAAAAGCTCCCAGATTTTGGCGTCTGGAAGGGGGGGGGGGGGGGACCACACCACAGTTGACCCTGACTGGCTGTGATGATGGCGCGGTTCGTCGTGAGCCTACTAGGCAATAAGGTCCAGCGTACGTAATCAGCTCCTCCGTCCATTTTCGTCGTAACGTAAGCAAGCTCGCGACAATCACAGTAGATCCATCGCGTGCTGCAGACAGGTTAGGGTAGATAAGGTTGGCTCCAAGGTCTAGATTCGATGAGCGACAATCAGTTGGCATCAATCCATGCTGGAATCACTAACGAACGAACAGCTCACTGTCACTGAATCCAGTTTCTGTCATTCGGTTGTGTGTCAAGCTTCCGCGGCCTTTGGGCCGTCTTCAAACTCGTTCGCTGCTGTGTGAAGAAAAGTCCGAGCTTTCTGCCAGCGAGGGAGCGCGGAGGAGGCGGCATAATCACCGCTAGCATCCGCATCCGTCAGCTCGGGAAGCGCCTCTTAAATCGAATCGATCTGAGGGATCCGATCATTGTAAAGCAACCAGTGCCGCCGCCGCCGAAATGTCAATGTCGCAGTCTCAGCAGCTCGCGAAACCCGCTGCAGCCGTCGCCGAGTCGTACCTATCAAGTATCTGGTCCGTCGTTCACTCCCAAACCGATCCGTGCTCTTCTCCCACCTACTTTCTTATACATATCTTTATCCCGTCGTCCTCGCCATTGGACTCCCTCTCTGCACCAAAACCCTGCCCTTCCCACCCCTTTCCACGCCTCCCCACCCCTACCCACCCTCCCCCTCCCCATTCCTCCCCTCTCTTCCATACCCACCATTTTCCCTGTTTCGGCTAAACGCACGCCTGCCCCTCATCTTCCGCTCCGTTCCCCCCAACCACCGTCCGTCCCTCCCCATTCCCCTCCCTCCGTCCTCCCGGCAGGTCCTTCTGGAAGCGGCGTCGGCGCGCGATTCTGATAACGCTGGGCGTGGTGGGCGTGGGCGTGGGGTCGTACGTGGTGTATCAACGGCTGCACGCGCGGCTGCTGGAGGACCAGCAGCGCATCCAACGGCAGCAGCAGCAGATCCTGGAGGAGGCGATTCGGGAGGCGGAGGAGAAGCGCCGGGCGGAAGAGGAACGCGAGGACGCGCAGTAAGTGCATCTGCTTTGATTCGATTCGATCTAGTTTGATTGTTGTGATGCAGGGGATGGGAGTGACTGGGGAGGGACGTGCTGGTACAGGCAAAAGGTTGAATGGAGGAGGGAGGTGGGTGGTAATTATGTGCGTATAGAGGGAGGCGGTGGTATTGCAATGTCACCATCTTTCCTCCCGTTCCTCCATTCTTCTTCCCTTCGTTCTCCCTCCTCCAACATCCCCTCCCCGCCCTGGCACCAGGATCCGAGCGCATTTTGAGAGCATTCAGCGGATAGCAGACGCCACCACACTGCCATCAGTGCTACCACACCTGCGCACGCAGCTCTTCTCCTCCATCAACCTCACCGCACTCACTGATGCTCTCTTCTCCTCGAGGCAGCACGCCGCTTCTGCTACTGCTGGTGGCGGAGGTGGAGGTGGAGGTGGAGGAGAAGGGGTAGCAGCAGCCCCTCGTGCGCCCTTGAGTGCTCAGGAGAAGCTTCGGATATGGGAGGATCTGAAAGTGCTGAGTAAGTGGGTGCTTGCTTGCTTGCTCGCTGCTTCGACAATCTCCACCTTTCCTCATTACTCCCCTTGCTCTCTTCACTCTTGCCACCACACCACGTATTTTACCTCTCCACCCATCCCTATCCTTCCTGCATCCCGTTCTCCTCTCCTTTTCCCTCCTCCTTCCCCCCTCCCCCCCTTCCCATTCGCACCTCATCAGCTGCACCCATCGTTGTTTCCTTGATTGTCTCCTTAATTTACCCTATTCTTCACCCTTTTGCATGATCCTTTCCCCATGCGCGTCCGCCTGCACAGGTTTCTGCCGCACGTTGTGTGGCATGTGGTCGCTGGCGCTGCTCTCGCTCTTTGTGCGTGCACAGCTCAATGTGCTCGGCCGGCGTGTCTTCCTCGACGCCGCTGTGCGATCCGCCAGTTCCTCGTCACTGCAGGTGTGGCCGCAACAACCCTGCTTCTGCTTACCCTAGCACCACATCATTGCATCTTGCCATTCTAGCTATTCTTTCTCCCCCCTTCCCTCCCTCTCCTCCTGCCCAAATCCCTCACCATTCCTCATTTTTTATTCATTTCTTCCTTACGTATCAACCCTTTCTCTCCTCTATACAGCCTTTACCTTCACCGGTTCTCACCTCCAGCAACACACCCCCTTTCTCTCACTCATCACTCTTCTCTCAACACCCATGGCAAGCAGGATCCGCAGCAGCAGGCGTGGAGGAAGCGGCAGCTGCCCATGCGGTGCCAGCACCAGTTCATTGCCCTTGCAGACTACCTCCCCCAGATAGGCCTGCGTGCCCTCACCAGAGACGCCCAGGCCTTCATTGCTCCCATCCTGGAAAGGTATTGGAAAGAAAGAAGAAGGAACAGTAGAAGAAAAAGCAGAAGCCACGACGATGCTCAGAAGACCTATTCTGCTCTTTCATTACTCTGCTGCATTGCTTTCCCTCCTCGCTTTCCTGTCCTTCACCTCCCTTCCTCTTACTCAGTTCTGATTTATCTTCCGTTTCTTTCCCTCCTGTTTTCCTTTCTCACTCTCTGTTTGCACCCCCCCTTCGTCCTATGACAGGCTTTCCCTCCGTGACAACATCTCTCTCCCGCAGCTCCTCTCTCTCATCCACGACATCCGCCTAGAATTCGAGGCCCGAGATTGCGCCACATGGCAGCGCTACCTCCTCCCACCGGACAATTACCTCCCGGCTGACCTGGCAGCCACGTCCCTTGCTGCGGATGCATCTGCAGGGAGAGGCGCATCGGGGCAGGGATTGGGGGGGATGGGGGATGGTGCGGGGGGAGCGAGGATGGGCGGTGGTGGCGGGATGGAGGATGAGGAGGAGCAGGCTCTGCTTGGGGAACTGATGGACGAATTGCGGCATGTGCTCAGCAGGTGGGTTTGCAGGGATTGCCAGATTAGCAGGTCTAGTAGTATGAGTTGAATGTTGCATTTTCTCTTGGTTGTCTGTGCAGGCGTTGCCTGCGATCCCTGTTAGCTGGTGTTTCGTTTGATTTGTTTCTCTTTACCCTCTTTGTTTACGACCCCGTGGCGTGCAGCTATGAGTTTCAGGAGGCCCTTTCTGCATCGCTGGATGCGCTAACAGAAGCAGCACACGAGCATCTTGCTGCTGCGTTTCCCTCTGCGCCTCCACAGACATCCCCGTCACCGTCCTCCACCCCTTCAAACTCCACATTTGCATCCTCCTCGACTTCTCCCCTCACATCAACTTCGACAAGCCCTGATCACAGCACCAGCAGCAACACCAACGCAGGTGCACCAGCTGTAGCATCAGCTCCAGCTGTTTCACTTTCAGCAACCCTTCCTCTGGCTAAGCTCTTGCCTCCAGTGGCGTCAGTGAGTGCATCAATGCTGGAATTGGCATCAGAAAATCCCTTTGTTCAGCGCATGCTCTCTCTTCCCCCAGTGCAAGCCTTCTGCTCTGCTGTCTATAGTGCCTCCTGTGATCCCCTAGCAGCTCCTGTTGACCATGTGTAGAGGAGTTGAAGCCTGATCTTTTTAAAAGTACAATACGTGACCGGAAGATGTAATACTGGGTGTCTGTAGGGATATTTCAAAGTATTGGAGGTGCTTTCTTGCTGGAGTCCTGCTATAGTTGGACTCTATGCCAGTAGAAAGTTTTAAGTTTTGATTCAGTACTAGTTCATGGTTTATCGTTGAAACCTTCATGTTGTCCAAGCTGTCCAGAGTGCGAACACGACCAACGTTTCGCGCCAATCTCTCTGAAACAGTTCCCCGCCAGGCGAAGCGGCCCAGTTGTCCGCAAACGGCTTGTTGGGCCGACGAGCCTCGCCGCATGCTAACCAGACTGGCCGGTTCGTTCCTCGGCTGGTGCCTCTTTTTCATCACACCGCCGTGGCAAAGTGGCTCGGCATCACGCGACCGCTTCCGGGCCTTAGCTGTATCCGAACTGAGAACGTAGGTACGGATTCTCTATTTATGAGGGTGGTTAGGGAGGGTGCATGGTGTGGCGTCGTCGTGAATCCTCCCTGTCCTGCTGTAGTTGGCAGCAGTCCTTGGGATTCCCTGGGATGGTGGTGTGGGACAGGGAGGACGCACCACAAGGTGATCCCATTTCACAATCCAGTACTGAAGACTGAAGAATTCCATTCACGAGGTGGAATGTACAAGCACAGCAGCTTTGCAATTTCAACACACGAGAATATTGTTCTGCTCGGCTGAGAAAAAGAAGCCGTCAGCGTCTTTTACCTTCACTCTCCATCTCTCTCTTTCTCGCGTAGTGTTGGTTCGTATATCGTGCTGTACCGCCGTTACTCCCACTTGAATAGGCCGTGTTAGGTGCTGTTCTTCGGTCTACCAACGAGCATACACGAGTTGCACAGCATCGATCCCCTAAATATTTTTCCGGTCCGACTTGTCAGGATGTGCAAACCTAGTTCGCAGTCAGATTATTTCTGGCCAGCAGGTGGACCTTACGTACAGCGTAACCTCACCGCGCCTGCTCTCACGCATCGGTCATTCCACCGCGAATAAACCATTCCAAACGGAAACTGAAACCTCGTTGTTAAGTGAGCACAGTTGAAGAACTTATATACGCTTCTTTATAAGCGGCCGCCACCCAATCAGAGCCCTCCGCTCCTTGGCAGAGTTGCTGCGATTCCAGGGTTTGATTGACGAACTACAAAAGGGCCTGAGGCAAAGGGATACCAAGTTATCAAGTTTCGTAACTGCATCCAGCTGCGTCTTGCCGGCCGTGCTGACTGCTGAACCCTACCATTCTTGAACGGAAACGCATCAGACCGAGCGTATTAGCTCCAAGAATTCGTGTAGGGAGGGAAGGGAGAAGGGAAGAAGAGGCTAGAAGGGGAGGAGGGAAGAAGCCACGAGGAAGGGCGCGGAGATAAGGGGCGAAGAGGGAGGGAAGAGGAGGCGAGGGACAGGAGTAGTGGGCAGGGGAGGGAACAGTGGGTAAAGGCTTTGCTTGGAGTGGAAGCTGGTTGGTTTGCGTTCTGTGGGAGGCAGGAAGGTGCATGGGGAATTGCTGCAGCTGTGACACGTGGGATGGAGGTATCTTCTGCTGCAACTCGCGGAGGCGGAGCAAGAGAACCGCTCAAACTGTTGGTGGGTGGATTTCCCTCTTCTCTCCTCCCCCCGTCGCACTGTCATCAGGCCTCTAGTTTAACGCGTGATTAGACTTGGAGCTGTTTGGATTAAAGCGCGCGTTAGCAGCAGCACCGCCTTCGTCGCGTTTGTGCTGCGCGCTTATTTATCCCCCGGAAGCTCGAGACTCGTTCCGTTTTTCCTTTCACGCGTTGCGTGTCACGTTCCCGCGCCGTTTGCCCCCATTCACCCCTCCTCCGCTCTTTCTCTGCAACTGCGTTGTGTTTCTTGTTTTTGCGGGCGTTTTTTATATTTTTTCAAAAACGCTCCCTCTCTTTCTCTCTCCATATGCTTCTTGTGTTCGTCCCACATCCCCACCCCTTTCCCCTCCCATCCCCCAACCCCGCCTCTTCCTCCCGTTCTCCACTCCCGCGCTTAGACGCATCTCAAACAGCCGTGCCAGCGTGGCCGCAGAAGGACGCCGGGCCGTACGGCTCCAGCAAGGCGCCAGCTCGGCCTGACGTGGCGCCAGTACCCAGCAGCTACCCCACGGCTGTGCTCCCGTTAGGCGTGCCGGGCGATTCCGCGCTAGCCGTATTCTCGTACAACGACCTGCGGGCAGCCACGGAAGGGTTTCGCTCCAATAATAGACTGGGGGAGGGCGGATTCGGTATAGTGTACAAGGGGTGGGTGTGCATGAGACCCGGCGCGCGGCCAGAGGAAGTTGCGGTGAAGGTTCTGAACCACGAGGGCCTTCAGGGACACAAGGAATGGCTGGTGCGTGAGAGCTTCTGAGAGATTCGAACCCCTGTCGTTGATTGAGTCCTTAAATCAAGCCGTTTTTTAAGCCCTTGTTTGAGCCCTTCATTGATCATTTGATTTAGCCCTTCACTGATTCCCTGATCGAGCCCCTGCCCTGTCAGTTTCTCCCTGATCTGACTCGCGTCCTTATCGCACTGCAACATAGCTGCTCTATCTTGTCGTCCTGCCCTCATAACTCTCCCATCCCTCTCTCATCCCTCCCTCACCCCGTTCTTCTGGTCGTCAGGCGGAGGTGAACTTTCTGGGGCAGGTGTACCATCCGCACCTGGTGCGGCTGATAGGGTACTGTGCGGAGGCGGAGCAGCGGCTGCTGGTGTACGAGTTCATGTGCAACGGCAGCCTCGAGGTCCACCTCTTCCGACGTACGCCTCGCCTTGCTGCACCACGCCACACCACACAACGCCCCGTCGTTTGTGCCGTGCCTGTGTTCTGTTGTGCCTTTCTGTGCCATGCCATGCCTGTGCGTCTCATGTCTTGTCGTGTCATGTCTTGTCTCCTCTTGTCGTGTCGTGTCATGCCATGCGCACTGCGACCGTGTGTTGACACGTTTTCTTGATTGCTTGGCAGAATGCCAGACGTTTGCTGTTGCTCGGGTCACCCGTTTCCATCCCCTTTCTTTCAGCTTCCGACATCCCAGCATCATCACTTTCTCTCCTGATCTCAACTCCCCTCCTCTGCAATAACCCCCCCCCACTCAGATTCTCACCCCCTTCATCAGCATCTATTGTTTCCGACCCCATCCCTCAACCCCTCCCCACCCGCCTCTCACCCTTTCTGCTCCAACCCTCCACCCCAACGCTTCCTGGAACCCCTCGCAGAGCACCTGACGGTGTTGCCATGGAGCACGCGCATGAAGATAGCACTGGGAGCAGCGAGGGGCCTGGCGTACCTACACGAGGAGGCCACTCGCCCCATCATCTACCGCGACTTCAAAACCTCCAATATCTTACTCACAGAGGTACGTGTGTGTATGTGCACGTGATGTGTCTCTCCCAGCATCTTGGGAGGTGCGCAGGTTGCCAAAACATTGCTGCTGCGTGCTGCCGCTCGTTTTGTGTGCGGCCCATGCATTGCTCCTCTTGTCACAAGGCGTTGCTGTTGCTGCTCCACCAGGTGGCTTACACCTCAAACCTCTCTTATCCGCCGTCCTCACCCCTCCTTTCCCCCCCATTTCCTCACTCCGCCCGCCCAACTCCACCCCCTTTCTCGTGCCCTCCTCTCTCCCCCTTCCCTCTGTCTCCTCCTTCCCGTCCCCTCTCCCCCCCCCCTCTTTTCTCTCGTTCTGCGTTTCTTATCCTCTTTCTTTCCTCTTTTGCTTGCCTCTGGTCCCTCTCCAGGATTTCTCTGCCAAGCTATCTGACTTTGGGTTGGCCAAGGATGGGCCGGAGAGTGGCAAGACCCATGTGTCCACGCGCGTCATGGGCACCTACGGCTACGCTGCTCCCGAATACGTCATGACTGGTGGGCAGGAGGGTTGGAGGCGTGTGGTTATGATGGTTTGATTCTTGCTGACTGGGAATTCAAGAGGATGAGAGGGAGGAGGGCAGAAGGTATGGTGGTGATTAGATGTGGGCAGGGAAGGAGGTAGGTGTTGGCTGGGGAAGGTTGGTAGTGCAGGAAGACTAGTAGTGTGGGACTGGCGAGGGTGGTGATGTGAAAGTCGTAACACTCCCCAAGTCAATCCGTATTTGATCACACCCAGCCGCGCTCCCATCACCCCTCATCCCATGGCACCCCCCTTAACCTGCATGTGCCGTCCTCTCCCCGTCACCCACCAGGCCATCTGACTCTGAAGAGTGACGTGTACAGCTACGGGGTGGTGCTACTGGAGATGATCACAGGGCGGCGGTCCATGGACAAATCCTTCCCGCCAGAGGAGCACAGCCTGGTGGACTGGGCACGCCCCTTCCTCTCCGACCGGCGCAAGGTGTTCCGCCTGCTCGACTCGCGCCTGGACGGCATGTACTCGGTGAAAGGCGCGCAGCACGCCATGGCTCTCGCGCAGAGCTGCCTCAACAGAGACCCCAAGGCACGGCCGGTTATGAGCGATGCGGTGAAGATACTGGAAGCGCTGCAGGATTTGGATGACATGGCGGTGTATGGTGGTGGGGGTGGGTCCGGGAGGGGAGCGGGAGGAGGAGGGGTTTCGCCGAGTTCGCCTGGGAGTGGCTCGGATGGTGGTGGAGGTGGTGGGGGAAGAGGTGAAGCTTCGTGGCAGCAGCAGCAGGGAGGGTATTACTAGCAGTGGTTGGAGTGAGAATGAGTGGATGACAGTGGAATGGACAAGGAGGTGGAAAATTCGAAGGAAGTGGGAAGCTGAAGTGTCACTGTTACAAAGCAAGGGTGGGGTTTGTGTGTGAGAAGATGAACCTCCTACGTTCATTTCCACAGCTTCATATACGTCTTTTGAAGATTTGGTGCATTTTTCTGTATTGTTGATCAGTGGTACCTCAGTTATTTGAGCATAGATTAGCCTGACAGCCAGTTGCTAGCATCCAAATGTCTTTCCCTCTTTACACTACATAGGCAGGCTTAAAGTGGAGGATGTATGACGAACAAATAGGTGAATGTATGACTGACTTTCAATGCATTTATCAGCAGCATAAGGAAGGAACGGTGTACTAGTCAGCAAAGTGTACTGGTCCCTCTGGCTTGGACGTGTTACAAATCAGCAAGATATTTTGCCGCAAAAGTGACTGACATGGCAACTTTCCCTCCCTTTGTGTCAGTCTTATCCTTTCTATCTGCTTGACCTCTCAACTCGGAATAAGCCGTATTCAGCGTTCTCTTCAGCCCGGACGTGTCGACATCGAAGCACGTCATGGGCCAGCTGGCTAGTGAAATTCCTGAAGAATTCTGGGACTCAAATTCTGGGACAAGGATTCTTTGACTCCCTAGGGACCGACACAGAGTGGCCGGGCCTTGTCTTGGTTTGGTTGATGATGCTGAGCTGACCCGCATCTGGCTGACCCCCTCCCCTCCCTGACTGAAACGCACGGAACGAAATTCAGATCTCGAAGTGGCAACGACGCGGGGTGCCACAAGGGGTGGCAGAACAAGGTGTCCGTTGTGCTCCGCGTTTCCAGGAGCTTGAATTCAAATATTGAACCAACCCAACCCTACCATACTGTACCAAACCCACCGACCCCACCCATCCCCCACTCATGCTCTGATAAAAACCAAACACAGCAGCACATATCCACTCAAGTCTCTCGCAGATGCTGTGTTTCCTTCCTGTTTGATAGCTCACATTCCTGTTGTGTTTCTGGTGGTGGATTTACTTTTCCCGAGCAAGCCCGGTGTCGAGTGAATGGTGGTTGACCCGCTGATGCCAAGCGCAGCTGAGTGATTATCGTCCAGACACATTCCTCCTGCTGAATCCGAAGCCCCACGGTAGCGTGTCGCGTGCCAGCCATGTCCGCCATTCACTCGTTAGCTACTTCCTCTGCGAAGTCGCTCATTCAGACCCCTGTAGCGGGTCGCTACCCTCACGACCAGTGTCCGCATCGCCCTCGCGTGATAACGTCAACCATCGCAGCAACATTGCCTCGCGGCTCCCCCGTGCGAGTGCAATACCCTCGCCGGTCCGCCTTTCTTCGTGTCCACGGGTCTGGAAAGTCCTTTCACGGGCTCGGCAGCCTACATGGCATCGTAGGCAGCCCTCGAGGAGGAGTGACATGCAGGAAACGCAACTCGTTGCTGCGGCTCCGAGCCGTTTCTCCTCATGCCGGCCCGTATGACTCTGAACCCCAGCCGCCGCGGCGGCCGCTGCCGTCGTCGTCCGAGGAACCTTATGGCGAGGATGCTCTCTCCGCAGCAGATGTCACTGGATCGACCGCGGAAGATGCAGCGACATTTTCCGTCAATGACGCCGACTTTTCAGACGGTTACGGAGCTTCCAACGCCGGTAATAACAGCGGAAACAGCAGCTACAGCGGTTACACTTCCTTCTACTCCAGGAGCTCCTCTACTATCGGCAGTTCTTCATCTGGTTATCGCGGCACCAGCGCGTTCAACGGCGGGTCAAGCTCCGGGAGTGACGGTGAAGAGGGTTATTCGGATAGCGACAGCCTTTTGGAAAGCAGCGCGGAGCTGGGCGAGTATCGGAAGCGCTTAACGGATATATTGCTCGCGACGGACGTGGGGAGCTGGCAGGAGCGCATCGCGCTGCTGCGCAAGGGCATCCACAGCTCCCAAGGCCCCGCGTTGTCGGAGCTGGCATTCCGCAGATCGCGCTTTCACCGCACGCCTGCGCCGTCGCCTGCGCCGTCGCCGTCCTCCGCGTCGTCAGCGGCGCTGTCGCAAGGTGCGCTGATGGCGATTGGCAAGCATCGCAGGGTTGAAGGGGAGAGTTAAAAGAGGGGGGGGGGGGGGATGGGGAGGGGGAGTGAGGGATGGCACTGAGGGAGACGAAGGGTGGGTTTGAGAATGGTGACATAGGAAAGGGAGAAAAGCGGGGGTTGCAAGTTGAACCTCTCAATTCATGGACGCATGCGCGTGTCCGGTGCGTGGTGTGGTGCGACATTATGCGCTGCAATGCGGTGCAGACAACTCCCACTTCCTTGTTGGAATGAAATCCATCCGTGTGTTTGGCGCGCGCTTCCATAAGACAAGGGACAAGAGAAACTCTCAAGGCCATCTCTCTCATATGACCATCCCTCTGCTTCTCTACCTGCTTGTTTGCCTGTTCCATGGATCTGCTGCTGTATCTCGTTGATCGGTTTCTCCTCGCTCACTCCCATCCCCGTTCTCCTTAGCAGACGCCTCCGCGAATAGTACCGCGGATTACAGTTCCGCGGGTTATAGTTCCGCGGACTACAGTTCCGCGGGTTATAGTTCCGCGGATTACCGTTCCGCCGATTTCAGCTCCCCCTTATCTGCGGGGACGTGGAGGGAGTCGGCGGACGAGGGGGAGGGGGAGGAGGAGTGGCAAAGCTTGGCGGGACTGAGCGGCGGCGAGTCCGCTTATGGCGCGTACGGCTCGTGGAGTGCATCTAGCGCGGGGGAGGATACGGAAGGCGGGGTGGTGACGGACGAGGAAGGGGAGGGGGAGAGGAGGGAGGAGGTGCTGGGAATGCAATGGTCGACGGTGTGTGAGGGGGTGGTGGTGGGTACGAGCCCTGCCACTGCTGCTGACGTGGATGTGATCAAGCGGAATATTGGCGCTGATGCCATGCTGTGCCTTGAGGTGCGCGCGCGGGAATGGGAGGGAGGGGACGGGTGCATGGGTGGTGATGGGAGCGTGGGTGAACGTAGAACCGTTCGCTCACGAGTGAGGGGAGCAGGGATGGAGAGGGGAGCATGGTGGTTTTCTTGTATGCAGGGTGAACGTTCACTCACTCACTCATTCACTCACCGACTCACTCACTCCACACACTAACACCATGCTCCCGTGCCTGCGCCAATGTCTCCAATGCAGGGTGCTGCTAACTACCCCTTCCATCTCCCCCTTCCCCTCCCCTTTCTCCCTCTCTTCCCCCTTCCATTGCTCCCTCTCTTCCCCCTTCCATTGCTCCCTCTCTTCCCCCGTCCATTGCTCCCTCTCTTCCCCCGTCCATTGCTCCCTCTCTTCCCTCTTCCCCTTCTCCCATTCTCCCCCCTTCCCCCGTACCCTCCCTTCTTCAGACGGACGACTGCAGGGACGCTCTGGGGCTGGCGTGGAGCGAGGTGAAGGACATGGCGCAACGGGCGGGCATCGTCGCGCTCAGAGTGCCCATGCGCCCCATGGACTCCGCCAACCAGGTGCGCCAGGGGCTCCGCCGACCAGGTGCGCCAGGGGCTCCGCCGACCAGGTGCGCCACGTGCTCCGCCAACCAGGTGCGCCAGGGGCTCCGCCGACCAGGTGCGCCAGGGGCTCCGCTGACCAGGTGCGCCAGGGGCTCCGCCGACCAGGTGCGCCAGGGGCTCCGCTGACCAGGTGCGCCAGGGGCTCCCCCCGCCCTTCTCCCCCTGCCCTTCTCCCCCTGCCCTTCTTCCCCTGACCTTCTCCCCCTGCCCCTCTCCCCCTGCCCTTCCCCCTCTGCCCTTCTCCCCCTACCCTTCTCCCCCTACCCTTCACCCCCTGCCCTTCTCCCCCTGCCCCTCTCCCTTGCCCCTCTCCGCGTACCTGTCCCCGCCTGCCCGCCCTGCCTCCCCACAGGGCGCGCTTCTCCCCGAAGCTATCCGCGTGCTGTCAGCGCTGCTGCACGCGGGGCAGAACCCTCCGCAGCCGCAGGCGCAGCCGCAGGCGCAGCAGCAGGCGCAGAGAGAGGAGGGCGGCGGTGGCGAGGGGAGTGCAGGAGGATACAGGTCTGAGACTGAGAGGGAGGGAGGAGGAGAAGGTTCGCAAGTGTGGGACGAGGCGGCTGGATGGGCGAGCAGTGAAGGAGGATGGGTGGCGCCAGGGGCATCAGCAGGAGCATCGCCAACAGCAGCAGCAGCAGCAGCAGCAGCAGCAGCGGTGTCATCGCCCCAGCGCACTGTGTTTGTGTGCTGCACGTCGGGATGCCACCGCAGCCCTCTGGTGGCCCTCGGGTAAGATGGGTGGTGGTGGTGGTGGTGGGTGATGGTGATGGTGATAGTGATGGTGGTGGTGATGGTGTGAGAATAGCGAATGGAAGACTACACTGGTGAATGGGTGGGTGGGTGGAGGAGAGGGCAGCTGAACAAATGACGGAATTTTGGTTGTAAATCATATACCCAATGAACATCCCTCCACCCTAGCGCCCTTACCACAACCCTTCTCTCCAGCAGTGATCATTTAATCTCCAGCAGGGCTCACTGTTCCTCGTTTTGATATTTTTATCCTCTGTATAACCAGGGCTGCCCCATGCCTGCTGCATCCCTCCGTCTCCTCCTTCCTTCCCCTTTCTTATTCTTCCAGCGTCCCTCACACACACTCTATCCCTCTTCCACACTCTGTCTATCCCTCTGTCTTTTCGTCTGCCACTCTCTCTCTTTCTGTATCTCCCTCTATCTGTCGTTATCTCTCACTGACCCTCCCCTCTTCCTCCTTCCCGCTCCTCTCTCCACCACTCCACCGCTCCCTCCCCCTCGCCATCCCCCGCACAGCTTCCTCACATTCGTGCGGGGTATGGAGTACCGTGATGGCAAGACGCTGCTCATCCACGCCTGCCCAGAGGCCGTGCCCTCCTTCCAAGCATGGGACGACGTGAGTCTCACTGTCCCTTCCCCTCCTTCTCCCCATGAGATCCTGTGCGCTGGCCCATGCCACGACGTTTCATTCGCCTTGCCGTAAGTACGTGCGCCTATGCCATGCCAATCTGCTTGGCGATCTGGATTAGTGTACACATGGCCCCCATGTGACTTTGTGGCGAAAGGAAGGAGTAAGAGCAGGCGACGCACTCTGCACTGTTTTGTTTGAAACGTAACTAAAGGTGCTGGAATGGGGTGAAGGGATGGATGGGAATGGAATGAGAGCGACGCACTCTACACTTGAGTCCGTAGTGCGGTCGTCTATCTTGTTGATTGCCACACCTTGCTTTCCGCTCAGGCGCGCAGCAAGCTGTAAGCGGTGTACATAAAGTGGTTCCCGATTACTCGCCATCCCTCTTCGTCTGTTGTCATCACCTCACCGCTGCTTTTCCATACTCCTTCATGCTTCCCCTTCCCTCTGTTTATGTGTGTTTGTGTGTGCATGCGTGCGTGCGTGTGTGCACGCGGGTGTGTGCATGTGTGCCTTTGTGCATGGCCATGCGGGTGTGGCGTGGCGTGGCATGGCACACCACCAGGCGAGCAGCAAGCTAGCAGCGGTGGACATGAAGGGGCTGACCATGCGAGCGGAGGACATCAAGGCCCGCCGCGTGCAGCAGGGCCTCCCGGGCGAGTCCGTCGACGACTGGCTGGTGCGTGCTGCTGCTGTCAAACTTTTAGGTGCCTAAAAAATACACGCCTCGTGCAGCAGGGTCTTTTGAGACGTCTCAATGGGCGCCTAAAAAAAGACACGCCGCGTGCAGCAGGGTCGTCCGGGCTAGTCCGTTGATGACTGGCTGGTGCGTGCTGCTGCTTCTCGCATGGGGTGCTAACTGCATGGCGTGCAAGGGAATGGGTGCTGAATGGTGGATGCCTGGCGGTTGCTCAGCTTGTTTAGGGGTTCGGGTTTGGGGTTCAGGGTTGGGGATGAGGGGAGCGGACTGGGGGGAGTGGGAGGAGTTGGGGATGGGAAGAGTGGGTTTGCAGTGATGGGAGTGGCATGGCATGGGGGTGTCCGGCAGATGGATGTTAGCTTCTCTTGCTTGGCGGCGTGTGGAGAGGAGGTAGATGAACGCGCGAGCTGTCATTGGTGCATCCTTCTGAGCGCATGTTTCCATGCTCATGCACGTGTGTGTGGGAGGGGGGGGCATGTGTGCGGGTGTACATGTGTGCCGAGTCGTTCACTGTGTTTGTGCGTGTCCTTGCTTCCGTGCATGGGTGCATATGTGCATGGGTGCGTGGCAGGCGGCACAACGGTCGCTAGTGGCGGATCACTTTCAGCAGCAGCTGCACAACGACCTCGTTATTGCCAACTCCCTCTACAAGGTACTGCTGCTCAACGATCACTTTCAGCAGCAGCAGCAGCAGCACAGCGTGCGCTCCCCGTTCCCATTCCTCCCTCGCCCTCCCATCCTTCCTTTCTTCCACCCCCCCCTGCTGCTTCGCTGGCTGAAACATGTTTTCCCCGCTCTCCCTGCTGGACAGTGCGCTTGAATTAAACAATAAGTCCAAGCCACACTGCTGTTTAAAACCAACCACCTCGCACCCACTTAGCACCCCTTCTGCGAACCCATTCCATCACCCCATCACCTATGATGGATCTGACGCGCTCAGCGTTTCGACTCTGAGTCAAAACGGTAGCGTTTTGACGCTCTTGACGCCCCCTGTCCGACGGGTACCCCCCAGTTTGACGCTCTGGCGGGCAGGCAAAAAAAAATCCCGGACAGGGGATGTGGCGTCAAATCCATCATAGCCCATCACCCATCACCCCGTTACCCCACCAGGACGTGATTGCCCCTAAGGACCCGCCAGCAGTGGCAGAGAGCCATCCCTGCTGTTTAAGACCCTAAACCCTCTCGCACCCACGTCGCACACCCATTCCATCACCCCATCACCCCGTGTCACTCCATCATCCATCACCCCGTTACCCCACCAGGACGTGATCGCCCCTGAGGACCCGCCAGCAGCGGCAGAGAGCCGAGCGCAGGGAGTTGGAACCTCAGCCGCGGCAGCCTTGGAGGTTGAAGCTGCAGGCGCAGGGGCAGGCGCAGGCGCGGCAGCAGCTGTGGCAGCAGGGGTGGGTGCGGCAGCTGTGGCGGCAGCTGCTATGATCGGTGAGCCTGCTGTGGCTGAGCCTGGGACATCAGGCGGGGACGTGTTGGGAGAACTGGATGGGTCTGCTGCTGCTGCTGGTGCTGATTCTGATGGGACGTTGGGCGGTGGGATTTTTGCGGAGGATGTGGGCCTGGAAGGGGACTGGAGTGAGGTAGAGGGAGAGGGAGAGGGAGAGGGAGAGGTTGTGGAGGGTGGAGAGGAGGTGGAGGAGGAGCGAGAGGGAGGGGAAGAGGAGGAGTGGCATGCAACGGCGGAGTGGCTGGGATCGACGGGCGAGTGGGAGGATTCGGAAGAGTCGGAGGCTGAGGGCGGTGTGGGAGGAGGAGTTGTGGGTGAGAGAGAGCGTTTGGAAGCACAGAGGGAGCTGGATGATGGTGATTTGATGGCGGCTGCGGTTGGTGCTGAGGCTGGTGCTGCTGCTGCTGCGGCGGCGGCGGCTGTGGGTGCGGTTGGAGAGCTGGGAGGAGGAGTTGAAAGTGGGGAGTGGTTGGGGAAGAGGGGTGATGCAGGGGTTGAGAGCGGTAGTGACGGCGAATGGGGTGCTACTGGTGGTGGTGTTTTTGTTGGGGCAGCATGGGGGGATGAGTACGAGCAGCAGTACCAGGAGTGGCGTAAGGAGGAGGAGGCGCGGGAGAGTGAGAATGAGAATGCAAGGTGGGATGCAAACGAGGAAGAGAGAGGGGAATGGGAAGAGGGTGGGGAGAACAGGGAGGGGGTGTTTGGGGAAGGTGGTGATGATGATTTGGAAGCGAGGGTTGGAGAGAGGCTGCTGGAGATAGTGGGTGGGGTAGGGGAGGGTGTGGGAGAGGGTGTGGGGGAGGGTGTGGGGGAGGGTGTGGGGTTGGTGGGAGGAGGCACCGGAGACTTGGCTGATCCGGAAGCTGTAGTACCTGAAATTGGGGCAGGGACCGCTGATGCTGCTGCTGCTGCCGCCGCTGCTGCTGCTGCAGTCGATTATGCTGCTGCTGATGATGCTGATGATGCTGATGATGATGTGGTTGTTGATGATGCTGACGGGCTTTATTATGATGTAATGCTTCCTGTTGTGGGAGGTGTGGCGATAGGGGAGAGCGAGGAGGAGGAGGGAGTGTTTGTCACTGCTGAACAAGAGAGGGGCCTGAACGAGGAAGAAGAAGGGGAATGGAACGAGAGGGAGGAGGGGGAAAAGGAGGAGGAGGAGGAAATGGAGGAGGGGGTGGAGGAGGGAGTGGAGGAGGAGGAGTGGCAGGGGAGTGGGGAGGTGGAGAACGGCGAGGTGCTTGGTTTGAGGGAGGCGCTGGCAGCCATGCAGGAGGAGCTACGACAGGCCGTGGGCTTGCAGGCTCAGGTGGGCTTGCAAGGGTGCATGGGGGGTAGGGCGTGCATTGTATGTGTGCGTGAGTGCGAGAGAATGAGTGTGAGGGGCAAGGGTAGTATGTGTGAGGTGTCCCGAACGCACAAGCTATCTCTGGTGCATGGCTTGATGAGATGTCACTCATAAAACGGCCTGAAGTACCTCATCTCTCCACCCAAAATCGTGTCCCCATTCCGTCCGTTCTTTGCTCATTGCTCCGTGCTCCCTTCCCCTTGCTGCTCCCTTTCCCTTGCTCCTTGCTCCGTTTACCTTGCCTTACCTGTGGCAATGCCCGGCGCCTACCAGGCGCAGCAGGAGCGGCAGCAGCTGCAGCAGAGGTTCAGGACGCGGGAGGAGGAGCTGCAGCAGCAGCTGCAAGGCATGCAGCAGCAGCTGGAATCAGCACGAGTGACAATCGTGGAAGAAGCAGCAGCAGCCGCACTGCTGGCAGAAGCAGCAGAGGCTGCTGCGAGTGCAGCTCTGGCTGAAGCGGCTGAAGTGGCTGCGTATGCTGAAGCCGCTGGAGCTGCAATGATGGGGGAGGATCGGGAGGGAGGTGAGGAGCAGAGTGGGGAGGCGGAGGGTGCTTTGGGTGTTGCGGAAGAGGCGGAGGCTGAGGCTAGTGCTGCTGTTTCTGCTGCTGCTGCGGCTGGTGCTGCTGGTGCAGATGTTGAAGTTGGCGATGCACAGGGAGCGAGGGACAAGCTTATGGCAGACATGGCCCGAGCTGGTCTTGCTGCAGGAGCAGCAGCCGCGGCGACTGCAGCAGTTGCAGCTGCAACTGGCGGAGCGCTGGGAACAGCTGAGCAGCAGAAGCAGCAGCAGCAGCAGCAGCAGCAGCAGAAGCAGCAGGCACCGATCTCGGAGCAGCAGCAAGAGTCAGAGGAGCAGGATGATGAGAGCCAGGAGGGCAAGGAGAAGGAGCGTGAGGAAGCTCTTCTTCTCGCCCGCAGCAGAGCCGACTTCCTCCTCCGCCGCCTCGACATTGTGACTCAGCGCGAGGCCTCTGCTCGTGACAGCCTGGCCGCCGCCCGCCGCCAGCTGGAAGCCACGTCTGAGCTGGCAGGGTCTCTGCGGGCGGCGCAGGCGGAAGCGGCGGCGGCCAGGGAGGAAGCGGCAGCAGCGAAGGCGGAAGCGGCGGAGGCGGTTAGAAGGGAGCAGCAGCTGCAGGCGCTGGTGCAGGCTGGTGAAGCGGATGTGGCAGCAGCACGCGCGCGAGCAGCGGCAGCAGAGGCAGAGGTGAGGGCGAGGGTGGCGGAGCAGGTGCAGATGGAGAGGATGATTCGTGCTGCAGAGGAGACGGCAGCGGCAGCAGAGGGGAGGCTGCGAGCGGGACTGGAGGCTGGAGAGGCGAGGGTGAAGGCGGCTCAGGTTACTGCTGCGGGGGCGAGGAGGAGGGAGGAGCAGGCGAGGGTGGCAGTGGAGGTGGCAGAGAGGAGGGCGGCGGCTCTTGAGAGGGAGTTGCTTATGATGAAGACACGGCTGCAGGGTATGGAGGGTGCGGAGGGTGGCGAGGTTGGTGAATCGGGAGCAGGTGCAGCGGCAGTGGCAGAGGGGGCAGCAGCCGTGGCGGAAAAGGCTTTTGTGGATGAGGGTTCTGCAGTTCAGGCGGGGTCTGAGATTAGCAGCAGCAGTAGTGGCAGCGGCAGCAGCAGCAGCAGTAGTGAGGTGGATGGTGAAAAGACGTTCTTTTCTGCGGACGTGCGGGTAGCGCTGGAGGCAGCAGAGCAGCGGGTGCAGGCAGCAGAGGAGCGCGCTCAGTTTGCAGTGCGGCAGCTGGAGGTGATGCGTGCACAGAGGGAGGAGGGGCAGAGGCGTGCTGAGGCGGCAGAGAGGAGGGCGAAGGAGCTCGCTGTGAGGGTGGCGGAGGTGGAACAGAAGGTGGCGGAGGCTAACTCGCAGGCGCGGCTGTTTAATATGTGTGTGGAGGCCATGGCTAGGGAGGATGGGGAGAGCGATGGAGGAGAGAAGTGAGTGCGGAGAGGGTGGGATGGGAAGTGGAGTGAGGTGAGGCGAGGAGAGGGAGGGAATGGGATGTTGGGATAGTGGGAGGGAATCCTGCTAAGGGGAATTCGGTAGGTTGGAGGCTTATGGAACTTACGTTATTTGGTTTGTGGTTGTGAGATGGGATGGAAGCACCACTTAGGTGGTGACAGCTTAGAGGGAGGAAGAGGATGGTCTGGTGTGTTATTGTATGGGTTGACGCTGGTAACCCGGTGAGTCCATTGCTGGAAAGTCGAACTTGAATATAGGGCGTATGAGAGGGTGCCAGCTGCCTGTCCCAGCATACCACGTAGGAACCACATTGATATTTTTTGCTTACGGTAGTTGTCTAGTGATTGCATTTCTTTTGTTGCAGGTAGACTGCCCTGATTTAGCAATTGTTTAAACTTCTGTATTCGTTAGTAATTATTTATGGATATACAGCTGGTACCCAAAGATGCATCTAAACTTGCAGCAATTATATGTACATACAATGGCAAACATGACTGCTTGTAAGGAAAATTCCTTTTCCTTACTTCGCATCCCTGCTCAACGCGTACATCACTGTAGCACCACAGTCAGCACCGTTACCACTCGCAACCCTCGCATCGACAATCTGCCCGCCACTTTCGCACATCGCACCCCGACCTCACGGCTCGGCGGGTAACCCGCGCTCCGGGCCTCCGCTTCGACACTTTTCCCAACCTCAGTCCCAGGCCCGTCGCGCGACAACCACAGTGCATTACCGTTACCACTGTAGTCTCGCTATATATTCTTCGCTCATGCCTTCGCTCATTGTACTCTTGCTTCGATAGTGCAATTCTCGTTCGTTCACTCAATTGCACTCGTAACACTTGGTATTCAGAGCCTACGACCTCTTCTCGGACCGCACCCACACCTTCGCTTCCCCACTATCTCAATTTTGGGGGGGGTAGACGTCCCTCAGCGACACGGCACCGCCGCTCGTAGTGCTCTCTCGTAAGCACGCACGGCCACGACTGAGGCTCTCGCTGAGCTCGCCCGACACCCCCGCCGCCATGGCCGAATTCACGCTCGCCACATTGACGCAGGAGCAGCTCGAACGTCTGGTGCGCCAACTCGAAGATTCGGCGCTCGAAATTGCGACGCTCACGGCGGAACGTGACTCCGCGCGTCAGCAATCAACGATGAACACTCCAGCGCCACCACACGCACCGACAAATGCATCTGCACAATCAGACGAGCCGATCGTCATCTCGTCTGGCACACCAACACAAAACAACAGCGTGGGACAGCGCTCAGGCGCAGCCAGCGATGGTGCCGCCCAGCCGATGCCTGGCATGGGAGGAAACAGGGTCGCACCAAGCCCGCGGGAGCCTCGCGAAGCCCGTCGGCACGTGGAGTTCGCGGCGACAAGTGGCGAACAGGCCATCATGGCACCAATGCCACTCAAGCCGCAACGCCCGCCCAGCTTCGACCCGAGCCAGCGTGGAGGTCCGACGGTTCAATCGTGGGTCTTCACGATGAACGTCTTCTTCGACGCGAATTACGTCGAGTCGGACGCAGCGAAGATTCGGTATGCAGTTTCGCTGCTAAGGGGCCCCGCCATGGACTGGTGGCGAGTCATCGTGACGTCGCCACGCGCCTACGAGCCACCGTCGCAAGAGGAAGGGCCCACGGGTCCAGCTGTCACCTGGAGTTCATTCTGCGAGACCACCCAATACAGCACGTGGGATGCGTGGTGCGCAGGGCTTCGGGCGCGCTTCGAGCCGATCGCGGCTTCTATTTCGGCGCGTCAGAGATTGCGCACTTGGCGGCAGCTCGGATCGGTTCAAGACTATACGAGTGGTTTTCTCGCATTATGCGAACAAGTCGGCTACATGCACGAAGCGGAGCGGGTGGACCGTTACGTCGGAGGGCTGAAGCCGGACATCTCGCACGAAATCATGCTACGCGGGCTCTCGAACTTCAACGAGATTCTCGCGCTCGCCGAGAAAATCGACATTTTACGCCGTCCGAGACCGGGGTCCTACTATGGACATCGTCCTCGGGGACCGATCGAGCACGCCACTGTACACGCTGTTGCGACGAATGCAGCTGCCGCGCCGTTTAAGGGGCGCTGCTTTGCTTGCAACAGGCCGGGCCATCGCTAGAGCGAATGCCCAGAGGAGCTAAGGCGCCGCGGAGCAGAGCAGTGGAGGGAGTCTCCAAGGCAGGGAAACGCCAGCAGTCAGTAGGAACCGGGCCAACTACTGACGAGACTGCCTGCTCGCCCAACCCCACCGACCCTCACCGACCGATTCATGCTATCGATCGGACTCGGACGAATAAGGAGGGTACAGCGACGGATTGCCCAGTACTGATCCACGGGAAAATACAGGGAGCAGCAGTGAAGATTTTTATCGACGGAGGAGCAAGCCACAGTTTAGTTAATACCGCAACCGCACGAAAACTGCAGCTGACACTTAGCCGTTGCTTACCGGAGATAGACGCACGCTTAGTCGACGGCACGCCACTGGCCATACGGGAAAAGGTAGAGAGAGTCAAAGTCCGCTGCGGGGGAAATTTCGGGTTTACACAGGAAATGCTCGCAACGACACTGGATGGGCACGATATTTTACTGGGACGTGATTGGCTGCGACGATATAACCCGCGAATTGACTGGACGACGGGTAGCTGCACCGTGCGAAGTAGTGGTAACTGGGTCGAGCTACCTCGCTGGCAGTCGCCCGAGTCTTCAACGGTACACGTCAACGCCATCACAATGAAACGGGCTGTCGCTGCTGGAGCTGACGTGTACGCAGTAGACATCGCAGGAGTAGAGGAAGCAGAGCAGCCGAGTGATTTCAAGAAACTCCTGGCAGCCGTACCGCCCGAATTACAGGAACTGTTGAAACGATACCCCGGGATTTTCCCCGACGACTTACCGGAAGGACTGCCACCTCAGCGAGCACATGACCGCCGAATCGAATTAGAACCGGGGGCACAGCCAACCGTACAGCGCCAGTTCAGACTGACACAGCCCGAGCTCGACGAACTAAGGAAGCAGTTAGATTATTTGTTAGAGAAGCAGTTTATTCGACCAAGTTCGTCACCGTTCACACCGAAAAAAGACGGAGGGTTTCGCATGTGCATCGATTACCGAGCGCTCAACAGGGTAACAGTCAAGTCGCGGTACCCCATTCCCCGCGCCGACGAACTGATCGACCAACTGCGAACAGCACGGGTTTTTTCGAAAATAGATTTACGGGGAGGTTACCATCAGATTAGGGTCGAACCATCGGACTGCGCCAAAACAGCTTTCAGGACTAGGTACGGGTCGTTCGAGTACACTGTGATGCCATTCGGGCTGACCAACGCACCGGCGACTTTTCAGATGACCATGAACGAGGCATTTAGGCCGCTCTTAGATAAATGTGTCATCGTTTACCTCGACGACATCCTAGTGTACAGTCGGGATAAGCAGCAGCACTTAGCAGATCTGGAAGCAGTGTTTAAGGTTTTAGACGAGCACAGATTACTGACCAAGGGTTCCAAGTGCGAGTTCTTCCAGGATAGGTTAGAATTTTTGGGGCACGTTATTTCGGAGGCTGGAGTTGAAATCGACCCAAAGAAGCTGGATACGGTAAAAGCGTGGCATCCCCCGACGAACATCACAGAACTGCAGAGTTTTTTAGGGTTCGTTAATTATGTTCGTCGGTTCGTCCCCGACATGGCACAGTTGACTGCCCCGTTGACGGATTTACTGCGAAAGGGGGTCGTTTTTACGTGGGGGGAGAAAGAGCATGCTGCCTTCTCTGCCCTGAAAAATGTTCTCTGTTCACCGCCCGTCCTGCGCATCGCCGACCCACACCGCCCATGCGAAGTAGTTACCGACGCAAGCGATATCTCCATCGGAGCCGTACTGCTACAGGATTTCGGCAATGGCCTACAGCCTATCGCATACGAGTCACGAAAACTGCATCCGCCCGAGAAAAATTACCCGATACACGACCGCGAAATGCTTGCGATTGTGCACGCGTTCAAAGTATGGCGCTGTTACTTGACTGGCGCGGACGTGACAGTACGGACAGACCATAAATCACTACAGTACCTTCGCGCACAGCCACACCTCAACCCACGACAGATCCGCTGGCTCGATTTCCTCGAGTCCAACTTTCACTATACGGTCACTTACAAAAAGGGAGCCTCGAACATCGCCGACGCACTGACCCGCCCCACTGCCCAGATCCACGCAATACTACTCGCCCAGACAAGCCCGCTACTGACAGGCCTATTCACCCACGGGTACCAAACGGATCCATTCTTCACAGGAGGAAATTCGCAGCAGTTCGCAGCAGCAAAGGGAGTCTATTACGTAAAAACCGGGACTGACCGCATTTGGGTACCTGGGTATACACTGCTACGGGAATTACTGTTACAGGAGGCATACGACGGGGTTACTTCGGGACATTTCGGGGTAGAGAAAACACGGCAGCAGCTGCAGCGGTATTATTACTGGCCCGAAATGTTAACCGACGTGCAGCGACACGTGGCATCGTGTCCTGTGAGAAAGAAGAAGTGTTGGACTAGAAAGGAAAGGGAGTACAAGTACCTAACCCTAGAATTGTGTACCCCCTAAAGGCTAACCCACTGTAGCCTACACAAATACAACATATATAATGTTTGACACACCCCCATAGGCTAAGTGGGGGAGAGCAAGTGGTCACAAGACCAGTCAAAGCAAAACAAAGCAAGACAAGCTCAGGGTGGATCTCAAGGATACCACACAAATTCCGAGCACAAGCAAATGGTCACAAGACCAGTTCACATGCAGTTTGATAATAGAACAAGAGGTACAGTGATCACAACCTAGCAAGTGTAAGCATGCAGGTATATATATAGAGATCATAGTACAAGCAGAGTCAAGAAGTGAGCAAGTGAGGGAGAGTAGGCACAAGGCCTAGAACAGTACAGAAACGCTGATGATCACAAGGCTGAAGCGCCTTGGTGAACACATCAGCAGTGTTGGC